GACGCCCGCCCAACGGGCAGTCACGTGGTCGGAACCAGCCATGAGTCAGCACCGGCCGTCGCAGTCTAGGGGTGGGCCTCAAACGTGGGCAGGGGGGAAGCCAGTGAAGACGTGCATACGAAGCGTTTGAGGTCGAGACGGGACTACGGCATTCGAGGGATGTTTCCGCCTTTGCTCACTCCACTGTCAGAATTCCCTGAAAAGAACAGCACCCCCTAAACTAGTGCCTGAGGTGCTTGCGTACACACTCGGACTAAATATAATACCTGGGCTGCCTGCACGCCTGCGCCCTCCTCCACACGCCGCTCACCCCAGTGTAACTCGACTGGCGTACGCCCAAACGCCAAGCGCGCCCGTTTCCAACTCGAATCCAATTAAGTCGTTGCACCTCCACATTCCTTCGCCACATCTTCTTCTGTTCTCGTCGCTCTCTCTACATACGTACACTTACGACCCTTTTCCTGCCTACGCTTCAATTCGTCGCCGAGGACCCTTTCCTTGCCCTCTTACCCTCCCTCGCTCACATCCCAATTGCTTTCATCATGAAGTTACGACAGCCAGGGCCGCAAATCTTGCTGCTTCTCCTGCCCGCTCTACAAGTCCTTGCTACACCCAGCCCAGTTGACACCACCACCACCAACAAACGACTCGCGCGAGCAGCCGCACCCGCTTCCGCCGACGCCACCCTTCTCGCCGAACTCCCTCTTGCATCCCCGACAGTTGCAAAAGGCACCAAAGATGCACCCGTCGACGGCCACGATGGCTTGCCTCATCACGGCCCATATGTTGCCGACGTACCCAAGGCTCATGGCAAAGCTCCAAATGTCGTAGAGGACCTAGGGGCGGCGAAGAAGCCAACAGTCTCATCCAGCACCGTTCTGGTCGACGATGTGCTGGATGGTGACAAGAGCGTCATGCAAGATCCTACACGGAAACTGGCTACGGGCAGCAAAGGCACCGAGGGTGGTGTTTCTGCAAAGGACAAGGAGCGTTTGGCGCATGAAGAAAAGACGGGTTCGAAGATGGAACAAGTTCCTGAATCGCCCAAAGAGGCGCCTCCTCACCCAAGCGACCAGAAGCAATTAAAGGGAGATGCAGGAGATGCAGCAACTTCTTCGCGCGTACTCGGCGCAGGCGGATTGGAGGTAGGGTTCAACGTGGCTACAACTACGACATGATGCTAACTTTACGACAGAAACCCACCGACCTTCCCGAGTCTCCTCATGACAACCCCCTCCCCGTTCCAAACTCAGTTTCCAGCAAAGATCCATTAGACACTTCTTCTTCATCCAAGACACCCTCTTTGACACCTGGCGGGGATGCCGACGCCGGCGTTGTACAGCCCTTCCACTCCTTGATCCTTGCCTTTACTATGATTATATTCTCGGAAATCGGTGACAAGACGTTCCTTGTTGCAGCTCTCATGGCCATGCGACACCCACGGTTACTCGTCTTCTCTGCCGCTTTCTCTGCTCTGGTAGTCATGACAGTGCTTTCTGCCGTCATGGGCCATGCCGTCCCTGCACTCCTGTCTGAACGCTTTACGCATTTTGCCGCCGCCGCTCTCTTCCTCGTCTTCGGCGTAAGGCTCATCAAGGAAGGTCTCGCCATGAGCCCAGATGAAGGTGTTGGAGAAGAGATGCGAGAGGTGGAGCAGGAATTGGAAGAAAAGGAGCAGCTTGCACGACACCAGGGCCGCCGAAAGGCTTCCGTCTCTCCCTATGCTTTGGAGTCTGGCCGTGGTGTACGACGCTCACGATCGAATTCGCGACTACCCGCACCTGCTCGAAGCCCCTCCAGCTCACCCGACCGCATGCCATCTCCACGCGGAGGCTCAATGTCCAGCACAATGGGTGCTGTCAACAACCTATTTTCTTTGCTTCTCAGTCCCGCTTGGGTTCAGACGTTTGTCATGACATTCCTCGGAGAATGGGGCGACCGTAGTCAGATTGCCACAGTTGCCATGGCTGCTGGTTCAGACTACTGGTATGTCACTGCTGGTGCCGTGGTAGGCCATGGCCTGTGTACTGCAGGTGCCGTCATTGGGGGCCGTGCCATCGCTGGCCGCATTAGTATGCGCAATGGTAAGAACATCTCTCTCTGTTTTCTTAAAGCATGTCTAACATTACACAGTGACTCTTGGTGGCGCGATTGCCTTCCTCGTCTTTGGAGTCATCTACCTTTTCGAAGCATTTTACCTCTCTTAGAGGATACGATCAATCAATAGCATTATCGGGCGTGTTTGGATGGAAAGAATCACGGGCTTGGACTCCAATACCGTGTCTTTTCATATGTGTGGCTTTATTTCTAAGTATTTTTAATTTTACCTACTGTTTCTCTATGCACGACTGTAAACTTTTCAAAAATATGTCCAGATGGGGTATCTAGAGGATTCCAGCAATGAAGCCTACACAATATGATCTACTGTCTATCAAGTTGCAACTTTGTTTGAACCATTGCGGGTCCCGGATTTAGTGTTTTCAGATGAAGCTCCTCGCATGGTTCGAAACGATTCTTGAGGCATATCGTATAAACTTTCGGTATAGTTACACGCCCAGCGGTGTGACAAGAATAAGCTTTTAGGACAGGCGCCATCGCCATGATGTGGTAGTGCAGGAAGGGTGATGGAGTGGAGGCATGGGCTTGGCGCTAATCCCTGCCTTCGCCGCGGAAGAGACCCGCTGGCCCTTGCAGCACTCGAGCTCCATGAACACTTCACGAACAAAACCTCCTCTCTATCCAGCAGTTGCCCTATCCGTCGTCGGGAAACACCGCTATCCGCTCTTGCGCTCTGTGGGCATTTGCGTCTGATCGACCGTCTATCATAGTCCGCTACTTGGCCTCTACGACAACGCGCGTCCACTTGTATCGGCACCTACGACTTGCGCAGCACTCCATCTCTACCCCCAAACGTTGGTGCTCTTAGCCTTTGGCTATGGTTTCGACCACATCCAGCGCAATGGTGCCACAGCGCGAGCCTCCTCGTCCGCCACCGCCGGCGGTAGTCGAAGCCGAAATGCAGTGGATATTCACAGAAGAAGAGCTGCTTTTGGCGCCGTCGATAACCGATGGAATGGCTCCGGAAGAAGAGCGGACACTGCGACGGAAAGGCGTGGGCTTCATATTGCAGGTGGGCATGATGCTCAAGCTCCCACAGACGACTCTGAGCACGGCTGCCGTGTTCTTCAACCGCTACCTGATGCGAATGAGCCTCAAGCCACGGCCTGGTTACAAGCCACTTCACCATTATGTAAGTCTACGTATAATGGCTCCTGTATCCGAGCGCATCTAACATTACCAGCAAATCGCTGCGACTGCATTATTTCTCGCTACCAAAGTCGAAGAGAACTGCCGCAAGATGAAAGAACTCGTCGTGTCATGTGTCCGGGTTGCCCTTAAAGACCCCAACAAGCTTGTCGACGAGCAAACAAAGGATTTCTGGAAATGGCGGGACACCATTTTGTACAGCGAAGATGTTCTACTTGAGGCCCTATGTTTTGACCTCAACGTTGAATCGCCATATAAGATCATGTATGACATGATGAAGTACTACGGTGTCGAGCACAATAAAAAGCTGCGCAACTCGGCCTGGGCTTTTCTCTCCGACTCGACATCCACGCAAATGTGTCTGCTGTTTCCCTCACGAACAATTGCTGCAGCATCGCTGTATGCTGGCGCGCGCATGGCCGAGGTTGAGCTAAGCGACGACGAAGGCAAGCCGTGGTGGGAGATTCAGCACGTCCAGCTGCGCGACATCAGAAAAGCATGCAACCTGATGGCCGATCTGTACGAGAAGACGCCCGACAAGGACGGCGAGCCTAACATGTACGCTGGGCTTAGAACACCCGAAGATGGCATCGACTTTGGAGACACGCCTAGGAGCATGGAAGGAGTCCAGATGACCAGTCAAAGCCAGCCGACTGCTAACGGCACTGCGGATGGGAACGTGACGGAGAGGGGCAGCGAAGAGGGCGAGTTGGATGGCTAGGAGTCGACTTCCGCAGATTATATGGCTGATAATGAGTCGTCTGTCAGTGAGGATTCGGGGTTACTTGAGCTCGACTATTCGGCTGATAACGAGTCGTCTATTGACGAGGACCCGGACTCAACTTCTGTTATTGAGGAACTGCGATCGGCCTTTAGCGACTCCTCATCTGATGAGTCTTTTGTCAAGGCGGCGGGTAACAGAACATGTTCTCCATCAACACTAAGGTAGAAGGGTTTGTCTTTGTGTGTGTGAAGTTAGTTGGAAAGAGATACGCGCTGCGCACGTTTGTATGTGAAGCGGGTTGGGTTGGGGCGCAAACAGGGCGTTTTTGGGAAACAGGGGCAAAGATACCACCAGGGGATACACATTTTTACGTTCCCCATTATTATTTTTATTGCGCCTTGGAAAATGGATATTTTTCATTATAAATATTGCTATCTTGGTGTGTCATTGTGGTGATGTCTGACATGCTTTTTTACCTTAATTACTCCGCAATAAGCAACGATAAGCGCGCAGCATTATCAGTAGTGCGAAATACGAAAAGCTGACATAAGCCCCCATATAACTTTATCTTCACAGCAGAGGCAACAACTTACTTTGGCAAAAGTCAACTTGGCGCATACAAAGACATGTGTTTCTGTTGCCTAGATAACAAGATGCCCTCCCACGTGCGAGCCGTTATCGTGCCGTATCGACCGTATCTCGTACCCATGGCGCGCATGACTCGGGTAGACTTTCCATTGCCTCGGCATCTTTTAAAGGGTTGGAAATGCGAAGGAAACGACGTCAAGACTTTTGCACCCTTATTTCTTAAACGCCACGTAGAAAGGAAACCCACCTACTTTTCCTTTTTTGATTTGAAGGCCTGACACGTTTGATACTATCACTTTTGAACTTGGGATATATAAAACGTTGCTTTAGAACGGTTGCTTGGAGGCGCATGCATACTTGACTCTCAGATTCCACTACAACAAGAAAGAAAGAGAAAAGGGGAAGAGAAAGAGAAAAGAAGATGGACTCCTCACCCACAGCCCTCCTCAAACTCCTCCTCCCACAAACCCCCTTACTCGTCAAAACCGCCCTCTGGCACTCCCTCTCCCTCACCCCCCAATCCAGCAAATGGGACTTGAAAACCTCGCTCACCGTCACCATGATACGCGAGATGATGGGGCCGAACGCCTCTCCTCAGCCCATCGGTAAAACCCAGCGTTTTACACTACGGGACCCGGGTGTAAAAGGGAAAATGTGGGTTAGTAAAGTCAGCTTGCCTATTCCGGGTGAAGACGATGTGCGGCAACTTGTCTTCAAAGCGATCAAAGATATGGGTACTGGAGAAGAAAAATGGGAGGAACCGCTGCAAAAGGGACTAGAAGCGGAGTGGAATGGGTATCGCGCTGCAGCGAAAGAGGGGGAAGGGGAACCGGTGGGGATGGACGAGAAAGAGAAGTTTGAGGCGTTGATGAAAGAGACGACGGGGGAGACTACGGTGCTTTATTTTCATGGGGGAGCAATGTATTTGCTTGATCCAAGTGGGTATCGTGGGTTGGGAGCACGGATTGCGCGCGAGACGGGCGGACGCGTATTCAACGTGCGATATAGATTATCGCCACAGAATCCGTTTCCGGCGGCGCTGCTGGATGCGTTTACGGCGTACCTTTCGCTCTTATCGCCGCCGCCCGGTGCATTCCACGAGGCTGTGCCAGCTAGTAAAATCGTCTTTGGAGGGGACTCGGCGGGAGGACTGTGCTGTACGGCTCTCTTGCAGCTTCTGCTGCAAATTCACAGGAGCACGCCCGAGGGAAAAACGCCTACGGTGCGCTTTCACGGCAAAGACGTCGAAATACCGCTTCCGGCTGGCCTGGCGTTGACCTCCCCTTGGATCGACATCACGAGGGCGTTACCGTCTATAGAAAACGAAACCACATTCGATTACCTGCCGCCACCCAGCCAAACCGACAAGAGAGATATCCCAAAAGATGATGTTTGGCCTGCTAATCCTCCCCGTGCGGATCTCTACTGCGACGCTAGTGCCTTACTACACCCCCTCGTGTCTCCGCTCTCCGCACAAGACTGGTCGGGCAGTCCGCCCTTGTTCTTCTCCATCGGCCAGGAGATGCTGAGGGATGAAGCTGCTGTCCTCGCTCAGCGCGCTGTCAGGCAGGGGGCAAGTGTTACGTGGCGCGAGTTCGAGGCTATGCCGCATGTTTTTGCGGTGTTGTTGGAGGGGCTGGGGGAGAGTGAGGTGCATTATAAGGAGCACTTGGAGTTTATAAACAAGGTTGTCGAGGGAGGCAAGGAGAAGCTAGACAGCACCGCAGTCCTAATCCGCGCAAAAACACTAAAGAGAGAAGACAAAGACGTCGCAGCCGGTCTAACGCAAATCACAGATGCCGAAGCCAAAGAAATGATGGTCAAGGGAAAAGAAAGGATTGAGAGGAAATTCGCACGGGGTAAGGATCCAGCGGCTGAGAGACCTATGTTGTAAAACACATCCGCCTTGTCTTTATGTAACTAGTTCATTTTCATAGCTAGTTACCCATTATTCTTCTTTTGAATTTACAAAATTAAACACACAAATATATATATATATATACCAACCCCACCCTTACTCCCCCTTCCCACCCCCCCTCCTCCTCGCAACCCCCCTCTCAACCCCACTCTCCAACCCAGTTCCTAGCCCTGAATCCGTAAACACGGCCTCCCTCTCGACCCCCACGGGCAACGGAACTTCAAGTAAGAAATCCTCATCCTCATCATCCGCTTCCGCCTCTTCTTTGACTGGGATATCTTTAAGCGCAGGTTCATTACCAGCCTCTTGCTTCACACCGCCAGACGAACTATACGAAAGGGGATACTGCGAGGGCAAGGTAGGAAACGTGCGACTAGTCTCGCTAAACGGGGTGCCAGGATCCGTTTCCTCTGCTTTAATTTTCTTTTCCTCCTCCTCCTTGCTTTCCTTATCATCCTCACCCTCATGCGAAGAAGACGAAAAAGAAGAACTAAGCACCGTAAATGCCCCCCAAGTAACCACCAGCACCCCCATCTCCATTCCCCAAAACCCCAAAATGCCCAATATCCCGCTGAGAATCCGGTAGCGATACATGACCCAGCGTATCCCCTCCAGGCGCGCGGTAATATGCACGCTAGCACGATACACTTCGAGCGGGAGTTTGGACCGGAGTTCGAGACGCAGGGAAGAAGGAACGTTGCGGTAACCAGGCTCGAACAAGACCGATTCCATCATTTTGATGCGGACATGTTCGGATTCTTTGTGCATGCCTAGTAAGTACAGCGGGAGGCGCATGAGACGGTACATGATTTCGAGCACACGACTCCGGTACGTCAGTATCGCCGGTCTCTTACTCCTTGCAAGCACCGTAGGAGTCTGAGATGTTGTTGTTGTTGTCGTCGTAGTATCGTCCATCACAATGTTCTTCTCGGGAGTAGTACCCGGCGCACCGCCTTGACTATGGTCTTCAACATTCCACTCTTCATCCCAGCCCAACAAGTGTTTTACACCCTGCCCTCGCGTCGTCGGGCCACGGAATTCCAGCCCAACCATCCAATTCCCGGCTTTCAAATTGGTTTCGCTTCTAGGCAGGTCGAGTTCAACGACTACGTCGTATTTCTGGCGGTCGACCAGTCCCGGTATGTTGGCGAGTCCGTACGGCCATTTGGTCGTCTTGCCGGCTGTCACGCCGTCGGCTGGCGTGGGTGCATGGAGAGAGTGCGGAGTGTGATCGTATTGCAGATATACGGGTACGACGATGCCGCGGACGGGGATGTAGGTGTAGTAAAAGGATGAATAGGCTACGACGGCGAAGCCAAAGAGGATGGTGGATGCGATGAAGAGAAGGGCTGTGCGTAGATATGTTCGTAGCAGGGCTGGCGATGTCGCGATGCGAAGGGGTAGAAGGAGGGAGTCCTAGATGTTTCAATCATTGGTACGCGTGGGCGGAGAGATGCAATCGTCGCGACGACGGGCCGGGGACACCTTACAATTACAACCCGTACAATTGACCTGTCCTGGTGAACATCATCTTCGAGTTCCTCCATAGCCACCCGCTATACTACACAGCAGACGATTGTGGTTGTTAGAATGCGGTTTTTTTTCACACGCGCTTGATCTTCACATGCTGTCGCGCGCCACACTTGGGGTTGTGACGTAGCTTGCACAGACCACATGCACTAAACATTTGCACATCACTCCACCACTTCACAACTCAATCAAAACCATCAAGTCATGGAATAAAGTTTTCATTCAAGCAATACAGCAGTAGAAAAGAACTCGACCCTAATCCTACACCATATCTGTTGCCTATCCCATTACCCGACTCCATACAAAGAAAAGAAAAGAGTACACGATGGACCCGTGAGCAACCCCGTCGGCCTCTCAACGCCATCAGGTCGACAGCCTGCAAGCCGTGAACCCAAAACGCCAGAGGAAGCAGAAACCCCATTTCAGATTGTGCTTGCGGGTGAAACACATGGTATCATTCCCAAAACAGCCTGTTTACTCCTTTGAGGGAAACAAGTAGCCACATAGGAAGAAGATGGAAATAAACAGTCGCTTGTAAATCAGGGACAAAAGAAAAAAAAACAAAGGAAATTCGTCAGAAGCGCGACGAGGCTGCACTAGCCGAACCAAGCCGGTGCGTAGCCGCGTACTGTAATCTCCGCTCTAAAAGCCAGTAGTATCCCGCAACTTTTATCCGGACCGTCTAAAGGGCCCAAGAGGAACTTTTGGAAAACATGCACATGCATGATCAAGTCCGTACTAACGACATAGCCGTGGGGAACAGCTAGAAGTAAAAGGCCGTGGGTATCGTAACATCGTAGGCAAACCTCCCCTAGTCCTACCTCTTCCTCTTCCTTGTCCTTGCTGCCCATCGTCTGGCATGCCGTGGTTGATGTTTGTGGCGACAACCAGCGCCGAGTGTGTATGAGTGTGTTCAGGAAAAGCGTCCCATTCGAGGCGGTCCTCGAGGGGAGCCCATGACCGAGCTTTGCAGTCGGCCCGTAGCCTTAGTAACGCCTGATAGAGGCGAACTCTGGTTCATGTTGGTGTGGTTCTTCAAAGGCGACTTGGCCACGCGGTTTGATCGCGAACGCTTGCGAAGTGGTGTGATCAACGCCTCAGCCGACTTTCCAGAGCGAACCGGACGTGAGACCGAGGCTCGAGCTGCTGGGTCTGACGGCAGAGATGCTACATCGCGGTAGCGGTTTTGGTTGGTACGGAAAGCGGTAACGACACCGCGATCAAAGTGCTCAAGCATGACATCCGAGGTCGTTCTCTTGCGGGTTTGTGGGGTGGTAGTCGAGGGTGCAGCCGGAGTCGAGCCATGGTTTGCCACCTGTGAGGTTGCTGGAGTTGCGGGCACATCAGTGTCGTCGACATCTTCATCCTCGTCGAGATCGGTATCATCACCGTCAGAACCAAAATCCATAAAGTCGGTAATGTTGATGTCATCCTCGTAATCGTCACTCGAAGAACCATCCTCGTCTTCGTCAACGATGCCCATGTTGCCGTTGGAGGATATGCTTACGAAAGGATAGAAAGCCTCGGGAGGACCGACGCTTTCGCTTCCAAACACAAAGTCGTTTGGACCAGACCCAAAGATACCCGAGAGCATGATGTCGGTGCTGAGGCCGTTGTTGAAGACCTCGTTGCTGACCTCGCTATCAGAGGCATTGTTGATTTGCGCAACAGAGTTCCTAGGGCTGTTGTTGACAGTGCTGCTAGTGCTACTGTGATAGTCTGTTAGAGGGATCCATGGGATCAGCACTGTGCGAGGACGATAGAAGCTGACGGCCTTGGTGGCACGGTTAGTGACGGCAATGGCCTGGTCAGTCTCGTCGTGGATGAAGATGCCGCGCGTAGGGGGAATTTGGCGACCGACGGGCCGCGCGCTTCGCTGAAAGGGCTTGGGCGTGCTGGCGCGCGACCCGGGTGCTGAAGAGGGTCGGTGCAAGACAGACTTGTTTTGGGTTGGGGTGCGTGGCAAAATGTCGTTTTCAAAATCTTCTTCGTCAGTGGTATCACCCATGTCGGCTGAGAATGTATGTTAGTCAGATGGTCAAAGTTGTCGTAGGGCACTACCATACATTCATAGCCGCTAGATTCGCTCGACTCTCCCTCGGACTCATCCGAGTTGTCGAGCTGAGTGATACGAGACTCGTTCTGCTCAAAGTCCCAAAAGGAAATGTCAGACTGAGGAGAAGCCATGTCTCCATTGTCATCATCGTTGTCCATCTCAAGCAGCTGATGCAAGCTAGGCGGGATCTTGTCTTGATCCATGAAGAGATCTGGAAAGATGCTGCTATCGAGCTCCGATGACTCTGAGCTAGAGCTATCTGACATTGGAACATCGTCATCGAAGCGGACACGCTTGGCAGAGCCGTCTGAAAACTTCCTCTTTGCCATGGGGACGGGTGATGCGGGGACAGCTTCGGGCTCAAAGAAGGGGGTGAAGCCAAAGTCAGGAAGCCCCGCCATAAAGGCATCATCCAAGGGAGCAGTGACGTCGAAGATGTTGTCGCTCAGGCAGCTATCAAGGCTGAGGCGGCGAGCATCACGATACTCATTGAGAAGGGTAGTAGCTTGCTGCTCTTCTTGCAGAATGTAGCTCTCTTCTTGCTTCTCCATCAGCTCCATGTCAGACTCATCGTCATCAGGGACGAGATTGACGCCACTGTAGTCTTCATCGTCGGTCTCAATAGCGTTGTCATTGGTCTGTGCATCTTCATTGTCGGTGTAGGTTAGCAGGGGAACACTGGCGGCATTGCTCAGTTTGCGAGCAATCTTGCGCCTGGGAAACGACTCTTGATCGGTCGAGTCATCGCCAAAGAGAACTGAAGTGCTTGAGAGATTACTAAAGGTACGTTTCTTATTACTCATTAGTAGTTGGTTCACGGGGTGCTTGCTGGGTACAAGGCGCAGCCCCGTTGTTTGGGACGCGGTCTCATCGTCTTCAGCGTGAGACTCGTCGTCATCTACAGGGTCGATGCGGATAGCAGGCTGCTTTCCCTTTCCCTTTCCTCCCCTGCTGAAGCCAAAGGGACGGGCAGGGACGTCGTCGGTGTCGGTCTCATCATCCAACTCGTCATCTTTTACAGCACTACTGTCATCGTCCTCGTCGTCTTCGTCGTCGGCAGCGCCTTCAGTGGCGGATTGGTCACCGCCACGGCCTTCAGAATGGTGTGTGCTTCCTGATATTGTGTCTGGAGATGTGGACCGTTGGTGAGTGCGGTGGATGTCTGCGGCAGCGTTGTGCGATGGGCTGCGGTCTTGCTGGTGGCGGTCTGAAAGACCCTTCATGGATGGTCGGGTGTGTGTCCTATGCGCCATGGTGGGCTGTTTGTGTTGTGGAAATTTTTTTCACTCTCTGTTTTTTTTTCCTTTGATGAAAATGGTGGCGGTGGAGTAGGTGAATGAGGGTGTCGGAGAGGAAGAGAGATGTGGTTGGTAGGGCGGGTAGTATGTCGCAATTGGGGTTATGTTCAAGAAGGATAGCGTGTGGGAGAGAGTAGGTGTAATGTATGTGGTGTACTGTGAGGGGCGTGTCAGGGCGTGGGAACTATGCTGGGGCCCTTTGAGCTTCGTCGATCTTGCAGCAGCTGTGGAGCAGGGCTGCAAAAGACAATGGTGGAATTTTTTGCTAGCGCAGGCGGGACGATTGCCAATTGAGTGGGACGGATTGGGGCAGAGGGTACTGCACGCAGTCTGGTATTGGTATCGTCGAGGAGATTGGGAATTCCGTGAGCTGTCGGGCTGATGCAGCCCGTGGGTGGGGCTGCACCAGGAGTTTAGAGCTCAGCGCGTGCCTGCGGCATTGTCTCGACGAAAGGAGGAGTAGGGATGGGGGGGTCTGGAGTGGTCCTGGTAAGAATCTGAGCGACTTTGACGTCTTGGGGCTGGTGCGGAGAGAAAAGATGCGGGCGAGGGCAAAGGATATGTTTAATTTTTAGTTTGGCCCTAGCGGCATATCGCATGGTCCGGGCGGGCTACCTAGTCCTGCCTGGCTGCAGCGATGACTCCATGTCGAGCAACCACCACACCACACGGGTAAAATGCACCCGCCACGGATGCCACGATCAATGGCTCGTTGGTGTTTTTGTTTTTTGGCGCGCAATTGGTGGTGAGCAGTGTGCAGAGGCCATGGCCGGGGCGCATCCCGCAGCGTCTGTCGCGTGCCCCTCGCTGGAAATTTTGGTCGTCTGGCCGAACTGCCCCACTGGCCCTAATGCGGACGAGGACATGGCGATGAGGCAACACGGGGCTAATCGTTGCTAACGGCTGGACCCCATTGGCTCAAGCCTGTCCGGAGCGCCCTGGTCAGCACATGCTGCGGCCAACAGCAGACTGGCTAGGGATGTATCGACGTACATATTCACCTGCGAGCCATGTGTCCATGTACTTACATACTCATATTGCTGCTGCTGCTGCTGCTGCTAGTACTGCCCTCTGGCGCCGCCGTCGATGCAAGCCCGCCTTTAGAGCAGAAGAGAGCAGCAATAGATCGCTCATCAGGGCCCCGCCGTCGTCGTCATGGCATCGTCGAGCGCTCGGCTCACTGCCCCTCCAAACACCCCCCCCCCCCCCATGGTGGTCCTTGACGTCGTCGGGCATTGTAGCCCCTCCAGATGCATTGTCTATCGATAGGCATAGGCACTGCCCCGTATGTGTGTGTGCGTGTGTGGGAAAGAAGCGGTGAGGGCCTTGGAGACGTAGCCCCGGCGCCTCAGCCTTGAGACTGACAGCCCTCGCACTCGGCGGGCCGTTGCTTGCTTGCTCGTGCTGATGCTGATGCTGCTGCTGCCTATCGCTTCCCTCCAAGCACACACGCACACTCGCTTATGCGCCACTCACGCCAATCCCACCAATTTTATTTGCACCTCAAATTTACTTCCCGCCGCGGCCTCATCCGCCCGCAATCATGTCTCACCTCACCTCACTGCTGCTGCTGCTGCTGCAAGTATAACCTCCCGCAGACGTCAAGCCAACTTTTTTTTTACCCGCCCCCCTCCAGACTGGGACTGGGCCATGGCTTGGTATTAGTGGGGGAGGAAGGATGGCAGCATGCAGAACATTGGTGCATCTCCCGTCTCCACAGCCTCTTGGTTGGATCAGCAGCCAGACCTTCCCCCGGCTCGCCCTCTCTTTCTCTCTTTCTTGACCTGGGGGCCGCCTGGCAATTACCCTCGACGTGTCATAAGCCCGTCCATCCAATAAGCCCTTGATTGGCTCTCGGCCCTCTACTGACACAGGTCCCACTGCCTCCCATTCGCCGTCTTATCCCTCTTGGCCTGCTGTAGTCACGTCAACCGACGTCTCAACTACCACGACTTTTTTCTTTTCATGAGGCCATATTCGCTTTTTTTTTTGCTGCTGCAACCAACGCACTCGCTCTCATGGCCGGCCGTGGTCTGGCCCAGGCAAAAAACGTCAACGGCTGCTTGGGAAAAAGTGGGGCCCCCTAGTGGAGCCCCCAACCCACGAACACGCTCAGGGTTTGCCAATTTCTCCATCACGCGCGCCTCGCCTTGCCCCAGTCACCAACCACGTATGTATACACAGCATGCACTACAGTAAAAGGTACCCACCGTCGTCTAGAGGCTGTATTACGCAATTCCATGCACATCATATCTGCCTTTCCTACACGACATGCACCTGGCCGAAAATCTGGCCTTTTCACCACTCGCCCTGCTCGCACTCGCCGCCTTCTGCTTCTTCACTTCCCCCACGTGTCTCGAGCTCTGCAAGCCCAACGAGGCTACCGAGATCGCGTGCAATGTCCTCATAGTCGAACCCTAGATAGTAAAGCAGCCGTACCGCCCACCTCAGTGTATCCCGCGCTTCAGTCCGCGTGGCCTCTGTCAATCCCTCGCCACTTTCCTCCTTGGCTGCTACTTCCTCCTGCACTTTTCGGACAATCGCCCATATCGTCTCGTGGTTGGCATGCACCCGTCCCTGCAGTATCATCCTTGCCCCAGACTGCTGCACAATCTCAATGTCCTCGGGACGATCCTCATACTCTCCGCCTCTAGTCACCCGGTACCGAGCCATGTTGGGCAGTCCTCCCGGCGCTCTGTATGGCTCAAACCGCTTGGGTGGCTTGTAGCACCACGTTTCCACAATTGCCCTGCCCTTGACACTGCCGTAGCCCTCAAGCACACCGCATACCACCCGGTTGAAGTCGGCCGTCGAAAGCTTGATGTCGTGCCGCGCCGAGAATGCCAAGAACTGCGAGCAGTACTCTTTCCAGTAACCATCTACAGTAGACATGACGGAGAGTATGCAGTTGAGCTCATCCCGCATGTTCTGCAAGATGATGCGTTCCCATCCAAACAGCAGCCCCGTAAAGCTTTCTTGGGCTTCGCGTCTGCTCTCTTCAGAACCACTCGACGTCCGGAGAAGCTCCGCTGCAAAGGTTGAGATGATAATGGGCCGAGGTCTAAACGTGGCACTTTGCTCCACGTATTGTTGCATGCTCCGCACTGCCTCCCATCTCCCCAGCCTCATCTGGCAACAGAGCAGAGCCGTCAGAATCTCTGCCGGCATTCGCTGCTGTTGATGCTTTTCATTCCATATCCCAGCCTTTTGAATCACTTTGAGAACCAAATCATTTTCCCCAGCCAACGTCCCAAACCGCACAATCGATGCTGATATGTTGCGATGGCCATACAGCAAAGGGCTAATCAGCGGACCGTCCAGGTCTCCGGAGAAGAGTAGCCATCGCCCAAAGTCAAACATCTTCAATTCTGTCGCCAAGTCTAGCAGCTGCGCTAGAAGTGGCACGGGAAGCTTGGTGTCAAAGGCTGGGAAGCTGACAGGGGGTAGCCTGCTCGTAAACGGCTCATCCTTTCGTAACTGCGGACTGTTTCTCAAAAACGTGAAAAACTCTTGCACAGATCTCTGCTTGTTGTCGTCTGCGTGTCGTTGGAGGAGCGACAAGGTTTCCATGGCACCATTGATGTCTCCGTTTTTGATGAATGCTCGCATAGTGCGGTGCAACAGGCTCAATGGTAATGTCGTTGGCTCAAAGAAGTAGGGGATCTCAGTACTCCGTTGAGTAGCTGCATTTGCAGTGCCGACTTCAGCTCCGAATCCTGGTGCAAGCTTAAAGATGCGTAATAAAACCTCAGGTCGCTTCTCAGGTACAAAGCCACCAGACTCAATTAGCCGCGCCATGATCGAGTCCCAAGCCATAGCTCCGAGACTCAGGTTGTCGGCGTCAAGAAGCGTCTTCAGCGTTTTGATGGACGAAACCACCTGCTCAGGATTAGCGCCGCGGGTGCCCACTCCAAGTCGCAACTGGTTTACAAGTCCGTCTACAAATGCTGTGACCACCTCGCCGCTTATAGTCTTGCGTGTTCGTGCTCGGTCCTCGGGGCTTGCTGATGCATCCTCATACATTGGAAACAGACTCCAACTCCTTGTAGGCATTGGCTTCTTTTGTTCTTCTTGTTCCATAATCTCCCGCCAGCTGATGAGTGCCCACCCTTGCTCTCCTTTCTTAGTTGCCACTTGCTCCAAGATGGAGACTCCGTCCAATACCCACCCACCATGTAGACAGGACCAAAGCACAAGCTCCAGCCATAGCTCTGGCGTCACTTCTGTAACGTAGGCCTTGTAACGAGATCCCGGTATTTCGTGCCCAAGAAAGTATTGAGCATTGGCCCGATCCTTTGCTGTCTTGACTGAAGACTCATGCGCTTTCCACGTCGCATCTGACAGCGCCGTAAGGATCTGGGATGATAGCATATGGATAGTCGGAGGTTGCTGCAGCGCATGCTTGTCTTCATGGGGGCGATATGTGTAGACCGAGTCGGGGATAAGACCTATATGATGCAAATATGCAATCACCTGCAAGACATGAGGCATAATGGTCTCCTGCCCAGCACTGCCTTGCTCCGTGGCTGTCAAGATCATATTCCCCAGGCTCCTCCATAGCTGCCCCAACCCTCGCTTTATCGTGACGTTCCGATATCTGATCGACTCCGGAGCAGAAGTTGCTGCATCCAAAGGGAACTTCGACCTCTGTGATGATGGGCTTCGCTGGAGTACCAGAGGCCTCTCGGTCAGGTCCTTCATACTCTGGTACTCGCATCCCTGCCACATAACATCTGAGTACTGTTGAATCTGAGGAGCAGTATCGGCCGAGTGTTGTCTATCCTCTGCAAGCTTCTTGACCATCCAAACCACAGTCTGCCACCGACCCTCAACCAGCCCTATGTGGCTGATAATATCCACAGAGGCGGCTTGGGCCGAATTGAGAACATAGGCAAGGTCAAATGAGCTCACCGATATGTCGGGGCTGTCTGAAGGCTCTCGTCGCAAGTGGGCTGGGAGGAAGGGCTCAAGGACAGCAAGCCATGCTTTGATGTCACCACGAGCTTCTGGCTGCGGGCAGGGTATCTGCGATGTGATGACTTCTCTTGGCTTCCTTGGACGTGTCGAAGCGGCTTCATCGTGGACATGTGTATCCGGGAGAGACAGGGATGGCTGTGCGTGGTTGGAACGGTGTTTTCCACTTGCAAAGGTGCGCTTGGAGGGTTTGGCGAGCGTCGGAACGAGAAATGCGGCCACAGAACAGGAAGCAGCAATCCCGCGAGTGTTGGTCCGGAATGCCTGTGTGAGGGCGCTGCGAAAGCATGTATGCGCAGTGCTCATTGAGGGGTAGCGAATGGGTGGTGGAGGTGAATGCTCGTGACGGCGGCATCGTCTTGACTTTTTCCGACTAGGATAATGACGAACTGCACTCTCCAGTTCCGAGACGCACTAGCACCGCCCGACAGGGGTCCCCTGCTGCGCCTCCCACGTCTGCCTGCCGCTAGTGACCTCACGCGTCGACAGCGCAAACAAGTCGCGACGACTCACAAAGAGATTGGCCAAAAAGAAACGCCCTACTGATTGCCTAAATCCTACAATTGCTGCATATAGACCCATCTTGCTCTACGCGTATTCTCCAGGAACCCTCCCTCTTCTTCACGCGACACAGCAACCCATCGCGACCATGGGTGTCTACCGTGTCGGTAAGTCACTATATGATTTCCAGTGCATTTACGTTCAATGAAATATGAGCCGCATTCCAAATCACCAATTGACATTGAACCGGGCAAAACTGATCAGTTATTAGAGGTGTCTCCCAACAACCGCGCTGGCTGCCAAGTCAAGGCATGCAAAGACGAAGGCAAAAAGATCACAAAGGGTGAGTTTCGCTTTGCCGTCCAAGTTACCATTCATGAGCATGTCAGCTGGCAGTACCGCCATTGGTGAGTGTGTTCTGTTGATTCTATTCAAAGACGACTACTAACTAGCGTAGGGGATGCGTCACCCCTAAGCAGATTGAGAATCTGAATGAGACATGTGGCGGCGATACAGACATGGTCGATGGCTACGATGAACTGCCAGAAGAGTTCCAAGAAAAGGTCAAGTTCGCACTCGAGCACAATCATATTCCAGATGAAGACTGCACACGCGTAAGTACTTCATTGTCGCATTCTCATATCTCTGCTCACAATCCCAGGACCCCGAGCTCAACCGTCTGGGTGTCAAGAAATCCAGAGCAAAGAAGCCCAAGAAGGGTGATGAGGGCGATGCGTCTGAGGAAGAGAAGCCTAAAAAGAAGAAGTCCACCAAAGTCAAGGACGAAGATGAAGAAGACAAGCCTGCACCAGCCTCCAAGAAGCGCGGTCGTCCCTCCAAGAAGCAAGCAGCAGACGATGTTGAAGAGGAAGAGAGTGCCCCGCCTGCGAAGAAAGCTCGCGCTAACGGTAAGAGCAAGAAGGCCGCAGAGCCGGCGAATGAGAGCGAAGAAGAGGCACCAGCACCTAAGAAGGCCAGGGGTAAGAAGGCGGCACCCAAGAAGGAAGTAGTTGAAGAGGAGGACAAGGAAACAGAAGATGAAGCCCCACCGCCTAAGAAGGCTCGTGGCAGGAAGCCTGCTGCTAAGAAGGCGGAAGCCGAAGATGGCAGTGAGGTTGAGGAGGCGCCCAAGCCTAAGAAAGTGCCGCAGAAGAGGTATGTGTGATTGAATTGTTCGTTGCTGGTATGCAAAGTACTAACCAAGACGGTAGGGGCCGTAAGAAGGCTTCCGAGTAAGTCTGAGTTCTTAGGAGATGTTGATTTCTTTCGATGTAGTCTCAGTAGGCTAGGGGGCGTTCGTGTGTATCTCACCAAGATGTGTATTCTTCTTCATCATCCAAAAAGAGAGAGATACCCCCAGGTGTAATTTAGTTCAGGGCACATGTACACAATATGTTTTGTTAGGTAATAAGTAAATGAGGTATCGTACACATTGACTTCAAACATGTCTCATTCGCATTCATCGAGTGTGCTTCTATCAAGTATTCTATAGTGCTGTGTCTCATTCTAACCCCCTCCGCCATTACCCCCACTAATTTCAATCTCTCATATATTCAGCGCTGGCTTATAGGGGGGTTAGGCCAGGCTTGGGTAATCTACATATTCTTTTTTTGTGTCTATCCCTTGGTTTGCGAGAAAGTAGCAGTGACTGTTTTCGAGATAATCTTGCGCTGCCTTGGAAGATATGACGTATCAGAGTGGCTTGCAACCTCCTCGTCCTCCTCCATGTATGTGTTGCTCGATATGTTACGATGATTAGTTCGTTGACGTTTTGAGGGCAGAGTGTGGTCCTTCGCTGTCGGAATCTGGATCGACATGCCGTTTCCGCTTGTCGTGGCCGCTAGTATCAGCTTACGTCACTCTTTGCTTGCTTGCTTTTCTTTACATATATTTCGTAACCTTTCGACCATACAAAGTTCGACCTCGCCTTGCTTAACAACAAAAGTAACCGCCTTGGTCTTCTAGGGTTCTGGTGCTTTGCTGAATTCTGGAGTACGCATTGTAAGCGTGGAGATCGTGACAGAGCTGATGTAGGTTGAGGCCCGAGTTCATGTAGTAGTACGAGAGTACCAAAATCTCCACATCGTCGGGATCTTTAAGCCGTAGAAGCCGACCTCAACCCAGCGCGACAATGGCGCCTGGAAACGTTGGATTGTTTCCAACTTGTCTGCCACGGGTATGGTGGCTAGAATTCCGCGAGCGCGGATACCGAATATTCACAGCAGTACGGTGTAAAGCTGCACTTCCCACGGGTTGTTGGCGAATACGACAGACTTTTCGTCTCTACGCTCCAGCTGATCAGCGATATTGGTAAACATCGCACAGAGACGTGCAGACGAACAGATGATGCGTGGCGCGAGTTGTCTGGCCGGCACGTCCTTTAGCTCAGTGTTACTAAAGATGAAGATCCTGTCGGCTTGCGGTCCACACTCATGGGCCTTCATACCCTCTCGAATATCAGCACAGAGCTTGACAATAAACGAGTGGTCGTCTTGAAGGGGTGTTCTTGATACAAAGATCGCGATAATCCCGCAGAACAGGATTCTCGACCAATTTGAGCTGCTTTTTCTGCTCCATTTCAGGAGCGCGGGTGTTTTCGTCATACGAGTACTCCATCTCTTCTGACTCGTCCATCGTGTCCTCGTCCATCTCATTGATCTCTCCATCCCGGTCGTCGTCGGATGAACAAGTAATGTCCCCAGAATCGGAAGTTTCCCTCATAGTACTCAGTCAACGTAGATTTGTCCAATACATCATGAATCTCCGTTGCGAAGAACATTAACACGCAGACAAATGCGAGCTCTAGAATGCGGCGGAACTTGCCGTTTTGCAGGAGCTGCTCTGTATTGCCCCCCTCATCCTTGTTTTTGTGCGGAAGAGATGATGGCTATAGATGTGGTGCCACCCATCTGGCAGTTCATCCTTTATCTTTTATTTCAAGGATGATCTTCGCATTATCCGCCTTCATACGAGCCGGGATCTGAATTCGAAGGGCCTGGACGCGTGCTATCACAGGATGTATGTCTTCCCAAAGTATGGCATAGACTTTGATGTTCCTGATGTACTGGGTTGGGTTTATACCGCGTTGGATTGGAGCGCAACCAAGGAACCATGGAATATAGGCTTCGTTGACTGTGAAGCTCATTCGTTTATACCAGTTGGCGACCAAGTCTTGGTAGGCAGTGACATAAAAATCTTCGTCTTCGATATTGAGATATCAATATAAGATAATTATGTATGGAGTTGAAAGAAGCAATTTATTAGTTGATCCTGTGAGTTCAAAAACCACGGCATCTGCACCCATATATATACCCTCCAGCAACCGCCATTCACTCCACTTTCCTAGCCCTATGAATTTTTAGTTTGTTTGCTATAGCCCATGTGCCGGCTCACGTGGGTTCGCATATCCTCCGGCTCACTTGTCGGTACCTGGCTGCCTGCGAGGAGACCCAATTACGTAGCTGAGTATCGTTTGTTCACTTAAGAAAAACTTGATGAATGACGAAATATTTGGTGCTGCTACCTCTGATGTGTCATTTTTCTGTTGTCTTGGAGTACGGCTGAGGACTGATTGAGACTTTTCACTCCCAACGAAGTGCAAACAAACCGCAGAAGAGATCATGGAGTAGGCAGACGATCATGCAGTGAAAAGGTGGAGTCATGGAAAAACTCTGCGCGGAGTTTCTAGCACGTGTGCTTTGTGCGCTGCTGTTTGGAGAAGCTGCTAGCTTCTCTTGGTGGCCGAGCATGTAGCATGTACTGATTTGCTGAAGTGGTCTATTAGAGACAGCTGCGAACCGTTACTAGGAGCAGATGGCAGTATAATATGCTCGCAATTTCTGATATATAAGAATTTCAGTTTAGCTATGTTGCAGAAGTAGATGCTGCCCGGGTTTAGTATAGGAGAATATTTTGTCGCCTACCGCCGAGGGGCATTCCACTGGAATGTCTTTTGGAAGCTTGTGGGATGCACATGACCTACAATATTTTTTTCAATGTTTCCAATATCGTATCGGGCAACAGATGTTGAGGTCACAGGTTGGAATCGCGAAGCAACCCGGAAGTCAGCTAGATGCCGCACTGATGATCACGAATAGAAACTGGGAATCATGTAACCACCATGTCAACCACAATCACATGAAACCCCTCAATTAACTTCAAACCTACTGCTAATAATACATGATATAAACTTCAAACTGTTCCCTCCTCATAAATCCCATGTATTCATAGAAACTTCAATCACCTACCTCACAGAAGAAGTCCCATCGATACCATCCGCCGCATCCCCAAGCCCTTCCTCATCGCCCGGCTCGGCATATGCACCAGGCTTCTTTGCCGCGCCACGAGTGCGCTCGCTGATAATGTTGTCGCGGTCGATGGCTTCCTTTTCGTCGCGCTCTGTACTCTATTAGCAAACATCCTTTTAGAAATGTAGGCAGAGAACTCACCGAGCTGCTGGTCAGAATCACCGCCGTTGTCGTACTCGGTGGATTCAATGGGGGCTTCGTCCTTGAGGACGGGGATTTCGGATTGGCCGGTGCGGGATTGGTAGGAGTTGTCCATTGCGTTGCCAGTGGGGACTTCGGTGGAGCTCATGATGATAGTGGTGGGAGGATTGTTGGGTTGGTTAAAGTTTGTTGGTGTTTGTGTATTGTGGTAAGATGAAATATTGTGATGTTGTGAGGAGTCAAGGAGTAGTGGCAGCACGTCTTTATGTAGACTTTAATCGCAATGGCTATACGTCATGAAGCTCGTGAAGTGTGTTCAAGCCTCTGATGTGACATAGGATCTAGGATCACAGACTGCTAGGATGGGCGATCAGAATCCCATGTTGTGATCGAGGCTATGACAGCATGGGCTTGAGAAAGGTCAATTCAACAAAGGTACCAGCCTCCTCGAAGGTGGTGTGTGGTGCAAGTGGGTAATGATGTGTCGATCTGATACGAGGGATCTAACACTAGATGCGGGAGCAGTCCGCATGTGTGATGGCCTGGACATGATTAGTGCTGTGTCATTCTTTGGTATCGTTACTTTGAGAAGAAATGGACATAGCGAAGACGTAGAGTGTCTCTTTGTCTGTAGATCATATACCTGCACAAAACCGCATCTTAATGGTCGACACGGAAATATTGTCACATTGAATAGATGTCAGCGAGAATGGGACCGCTATTCATCCCTGCGTCATACTATCGCAAAAGGCACATTATTCTGCTAGTTCCCGAGACTTAGATCCGCTCTACCATCCAAGGGACCATTCGTGCATGCCATTGATCAGCATCAGTCCCAAAACACGCGACGGTCGACGTCAACACCAGATTAGCGTCAGGGGCCGCATGGGGCTCTTTGTGTGGATGCGAGATTGGCGAAATCGATCATGCATAAAGAAAGTGGATTCTGCGAGAATCCGATGACGACGGGCCGGAACGTTTGTTTTGGCGATGGCTGGGGAGTGACGTTGACATGGGCACTGGCGCGAAACGCGCTATCGCGACGTCACGACATGAGAACGCCACTTCTGGTCACTATGGGGGACGAGCATATTCTACATGTCCAAAACACACATTTGAGTATTACTTGTGCATTAGAAAAAGTTACATTTCAACATAAGGATATGTCCATCGCTTCTCAGTGAATACTAATAGTAGTACAAGGTACAACGCCAAGATGCAAACCCGCTGTCAAATCAAACTTCTGTGTGCATTCTACGAGCTTGCACTCGCCTCGACTGCTGTTCCGCTTTCGCTCGTGTCTTTCTTGGCCTCCTCAGTCTTCTTCGCGGCAGCCATTTGCCATGCTGGAATGGCAGCGCGTCCAGTGGGCATCCTGCTGCTGTATGAGGCCGAGGGGGTTGCAAGGCCGTTGGCTTGGCTGTCAGCACTAGAAGTGCCGTTTGCCTGCTCAGCTGGCGCAGGCGTAGATGGTGCCTGGGGTGTGGGTGTTGAAACAGAGGATGTGCCATTCACGTTGGGAGTCTGGGGAGCACTTGGTTGCTGACCGGCTCCGTAGTAACCCGAGGCGTTCTGAGGACGAGGAGCAGCTGAACCCATTCTGTTTCCAATCAATGTCTTCAGACTCTTCAACTCAGTAGACAGCTCCTTCAGTCTGTTGTCGGTGGCTTCCTTGTGAGACTCCAATGCCTTGGGGATCAGATCCCTCAGGCCGCGGACGTCATCTTCAATTCGTCGGTTGTCGTCTCCTTGTCGCTTGGATGATTCTTTGAGGGTTGACAATACGCTTTCCACCTCACCCAGGGCGTCATCAAGTCTTGCCGTCCGGGCCTCTTCGGATGCCTTGAGTGCGGTAGTGTCGGTATTGAGTTGCTCGAGAAGGTCAAAGGCACGCTTGAATGATTCGTCGACAGAGGCCTTGTCTTGCTCCAGCTGGGGCTGCGTAGGCGGCTGTATCAGGGGTAGGACGTATCGCTTTGCGGTAAAGTAGAGTCCGTATCCTACGCCACCCATGACCGTCGCCATGATGAAGTAGTCGCGCCAGTCGCGTTTCGGCGGTCTGTTTCCGTCAGCTGGTGCGCTAGAACTGCTAATCTTATAACTTACTCTGGCGGTGGTGGTGGTGGTTGCCAGTATCCTTGGGGCGGATAGCTTGCATATGGGGCTGCCGGCTGTGGCCTGTATGACGCATTGGTGGCTACTGCGGATGTTTGTGGAGGAGGCGCAGGTTGGCCGGCATCTTCAGCGGCGCGGGCGAGGGAGACGTCGATCTCCTCCTGGGTGAGGTTCTTGGACTGCAGGAATGCTATGCGCTTCTCCAGGGGCGCGCTGGCAACCGACGGGTCCTGGAGGACTGGGTGTTGTTGTTAGCATCGTCGCGTGCAGGGTTGCAATCGCCATCATATTTACTTACACGAGACGGCCGATGTGATGAGATCCTCGCGCACCATTTTGGCTACAAGTTACGCAACACACGTAACAGGCGCAAGATGGCGGGTGGTGATGAAGCTGAGGAGTCGCGAAACGACGATCTAAGGGCTCGAGGCAGGAATGCCTCGGCTCCTTTGCGTCGGTCGGCGGTCGGGTCGGCGCCTGTCTCACGTGGCACCGCCGCAACTCTTTTCCGACTTCGACCCTTTCACGCGAGACTGCCAGACCACACATGCGATGCACTGCACCAAGGATCGATACTGGAAACGACATTGGGTTCTTATCTTGGTCATACATCGCATTCTATTCGTTGTTTCCATTGGCTTTGTGCAACTGAATTTGTTATTTTCGCCAAGACATCTGTCACTGTTGCCCCAGACACAATAGTACATTACCAGTATTTAGGCTTCACAGATTATTGAGGTGAATTGGAAACTTCCACGTTATTCGCTATATTTGGCAAGTTATATTGCACGTTTCGAGCAGTCTGGTCCGCAGCCTCCACGTACCATGGATGACCTCAAATCGTGTCGGAGTCATGATATGGACAGCGTATTAGATTGCACGTCAGAAATATGTAGATTTCATTGCCAGAAACTCTGAGGCATTAAAATTTCAGAGGTACAAACTGGTTGGCTCTCAGGCTGCGCTGATTAGAATGTCTTATTATATGCGCTGTTTTGTCCTGTTGTTGACTTGCGCAGCATTCACTGCATTGTTACAGGGTCCAAGACATGCGGAGGCTCCCCTTTCACGTTCACTTATCATTGTAACCTACCCTCATTGTGACCTACTGAACCTTGTGTGTTTCTACATTCCCATCCCATAACCATCACAATTACTCAGACCATTTCTATCATCATTGACCTGCATCATGAACCGACAAACTAACATTATTGACGACGATGAAGTCGCCCGAGCGATGGCCGCAGCCTTGCAGGCTAAGGGAAAGCGTAAGAACAAGGTAACTGGAGGCAGCGCCTCTACTTCTGCCAGATCGAACAAGACCAGCAATGTGCCTGCATCGCGCAAGGCAACAGGGGGCAGCAGTACATCTACTCCAGTCAGACAGAACCAGATCAGCAATGTATCTGGAGCAAGCAGAGCACCAGTGGGCAGTGCATCCAGCTTAGCCAAAAAGAATAACACCACCACCGTACCTGCAGCGAGCAAGGCAACAGGAGGCAATGCATCTACTCCAGTCAAAACGAATAAGACTAGCAATACACCTGCAGCGCGCAAGGTAGCTGGAAGCAGTACATCCACTCCAGTTAGGCCGAACAAGATCAGCAATGTGCCCGCAGCGAGCAAGGTAACAGGAGGCGATGCGTCTACTCCAATCAGACCGAACAAGACCACCACCGTACCTGTAGCGAAGAAGGAAACAAGGACGCCTATTACTGCTACTACAAACAAAAATCCGAGAAGCCGATTTTACGAGGCAGATGGGCTAAAGATACCATTGAATGACCAAGATGGCCTAGGAGATAAGAAGAAACAACACGCTCGGTTGGCACAGTCTCTCCTGCAGAATGACTTGGAAGAACTACTCGATATCGTAGAGCAGTATGCAGGCACTCAGAAGCGAATAGAATTCTGCATGCTTGAACTCTCAAAGGTCGAGGTAGCAAACTGGATCGAAGAAAAGGAAACTCTTGCTCTTGGGCGCCACCCCAAATTAACATTACCAAGTAAGTCCTAGAGTCAACAGTTGTACTGCGCATACTGAGACATCATTGTAGTGACAGATATGAATACCGCACATGGCACAATCCATGCAAAGAAAACGTTCGCTCCTTCACGTACCCCTGCAGCTCCGACACTGAGCAATGGAACAGCAACTCCCTCTGTTCCTTACGCTAAGGAAAACATGCCACATACAACTGTACGAAAGGATACACGTGAGCAGCCCGATAGTCGGAAAAGACGAATCCACGAAGATGAGCCAAGCAGCCAACCGCCACGGAAGCTTCAGAAGCTGGATACTCCGGAAGAACCAGTAGCTAGAGCTGATGAACATCAAGCCGATGCCATTCAACAGGGCAACCCAAGCCCTCAGCCAGTATCACCATTGCCTCAAATGAGCGAGAAAATCAACACGCACAAGGTCGCCAGAGATCGCGGAGTGCGGCAGATGCAGTTCATGATCGATACTGGGATGGATGCTTCCAACCTCGATCTATCCACCACGGTCGTTCACGACAAGAAGAACGATAGAGTTATTACCGCCACAACTAATCCTCGTACTGGCGCGACCCAGTTCTTTGACACAACAGGTGAGTCCCTCAACTGACTCTTAACACGTGATGCATTACAGTCATTACATCCGTCATTCAATATTTCCACATTTGATATTCTAGATTCACTGTAGGCTAAACATATAAACAGTACCCCGAAACATAAGCATTCCACCAATGCTTCACGCTCCATTTCTAAAACAAGGAAAACACGGCCGCCATGGCGACTTCGTATACGACCCTGACCGTACCACAGGTCGCGGCCATCAAATTACTCCGCACGATAATCGTAGATGGAATGAGTTCATAGTGTTCAATGGAATGTGGCATCATCGTAAGCCACATTCTGTAATTGGAGGGGAGGCCATGTCGGCCGAGCGTGAGATCAAGGAGACATGGGAGAAGTGGCAGATTTGGTGGGGTGAATTTGTTGAAAAGTACCCGGGGTATGCGGTTGCGCACTTATGGCCGTGTGGATGCGAGAAGGTCATGGAGGGGGACGAGAGCGAAGAAGAGTAGATGTGGTGGTCACTTTTAGCATACATGATAAACACGAGTCGATTTACACAACGTGTTCAGGGAATCAGACTCGATCATATCAAGTATTATCAGTAGCCTATGAAGAAGAGTTTGCTTCTGGATATTAATGAGTGGGTGCGAGATTTAATTAAAAAAGTGGAAGTGTTTGAAGATTGCGCATCATAGGATTGGTGGACGACGAAAGGTTGAAGAGCTCAACTTTGGTTCGAAGTCCGCACAAGACATCTGTAATAAACGACACTGTGAAATATGGAAATACGAGGGAATATTGTCAACAGCGTATAAAGACAGCTGCACCCCTAACGCATCCAGTCCATATTCCACACCACTTTCACACACTGCTACATCACCACTCTCAAGCTCACACAACACCACTTCCAAACCATCCACCACACGCACATACAAAATGGCACCATGCGAAACCAAGAAAGTCGCAAAGACCAAGCGAATCCCGCCTAAAGTCAAGCGCAACACAAAAGGCTATCAAACACGCACATCACCACAAAAATCGCCTTCACAAACCACATCCATCGAACAAGAAGAAGCTGAAGGAAATCTCTCCGCAATCCCCCACCACCCCAAAACGCCCCTCAACACCGCCCACCTCCTTTCCATGCCAAAAGTCACAAACTCAATTCGGCGAGTAGAATTCAGAGAATACGTTAGTCTGGGCATTACACCATTGGACGGCAAGGGAAGCAGAGCCGTACAAGGGAGCCAAAATATCACCACTCCCCTCATCGACGAAGTCGACGAAGAAGAAATAGACGAAGAACTAGAACGAACATGGCAAGACTGGAGAAACGACCAGGAAAGCAAGGAGTTGAAATGGCTTCGGGAGAAGCTATGGGGCAAGGGGAAATGGGCAGTCCGCACCGAGCACGAGGAAGATGTATTATATGTGCGATCTGTATTAGGAGAAGAAGAGTGGGCGGCTCTCTGTCTTTGAATTTTGCTTTCAATTCACTCATGTATATAATTTCTAATAATCGTAGAAGCCTTTTCCGGACTTCTTACCTAGCCAGCCTGCATCTACCATTTTCTTGAGCAAGACTGCGGGGCGGTACTTTGAGTCGCCGGTGTCGTGGTACAGAACTTGCATGATGGCCAGACAGGTGTCGATGCCGATGAAATCGGCGAGTTGCAAGGGGCCCATGGGCACGTTTGTGCCGTTCTTCATGATGCTGTCTATGTCTTCCTTGGCGCCGACGCCTGTCTCGAGGCAGATGACTGCTTCGTTGATGTATGGCATGAGGATGCGGTTTGCCAAAAATCCGGGTGAATCTGCGGACTTCGAAGGGATTTTCCCCATTTTCTCGCAAAAGGCGAGGGCAGTTTCGAGGGTTGATTGCGAGGTTTGGAGGCCGGTTATTATCTCTACGCCTTTTTGGATGGGCACAGGGTTCATGAAGTGGGTGCTTATGACACGCGAGGAGGCGGAGAGGTCGGTGGGGTCGGTGGTGGTGCTTGCTGCGATTTTGGTGATGGAGATGGAGGACGTGTTTGTTGCGAGGATGGCGTGAGAGGGGCAGATTTGGGCCAGTTGGGAGAAGATTTTGTGCTTGAGGTCGGGGATTTCAGGGACGGCTTCGATGACGAAGTCGACGTCCGAGAGGTCGGAGAGCTGCGTGCTGGATGTGAGGCGCTCGCGTACGGCGACGGCATCTTCTTTTGAAATTCGGCCTTTGCCTACGTCCTTTTCGAGGAGCTTGTCGGCGAACTTGAGGCCCTTGTCGATGGAGGCTTGCGAATTGTCGATTAATCGCACGGGAACTGAGGCCTTTTGTGCTGCTACGAGGGCAATTCCAAGACCCTGGGTATGTCAGAATGGTGAATATGCCATATGAGAGATCAATTGATGCATACCATCTGCCCAGCTCCAATTACACCCAGCTTCTTCACCTCAGCGGCGGCTCCAACAGAGGGGGTGGAGCTAAAAGCACGGCATTGCTGTCTAGCTGCGCACCGGGCGGCTTGTCTTGAGGCTACGGAAAACATTGTTATTGTGTATACCAATTACAATGGAATTGAAGTGCAAGTACTAGGTGTAAACAGCAAATTGTTCTGATGCATAGCATGTGATGGGGCCAGCCGATGGGAACCGCTGCACGGCTAGCCGAGGCATGACGTTGACTGGCGGGTGCGAGTGCGGGACGCTCAGCCCTATCCTTGGCGAGTTTGCGTTGTTTGAACCAATTTACGCGTCGACGCGTCTTTTGGACTAACACCGAGAACGAATGCATGGGTGAATGAGTATACGGCCATACGGTATCTTGACACAACCACGACGACAATGGCCCAGGCTACCCTCGACGAGTGGGTGTCGGACCCTGTCAACCCCGAAGTGCGCGCCCATGTGTACAGTCTGATTTCTGCCGTACGTCTTCTTACTCACTGATACCATTCGCCGCTAAATAGTCGTCCAGCTTGGCGGTATCGGCGACGATGGTACATACTCGCTCGGGCACGATGCTCTACTATGTCTCAAGGACCTCCGAAAATGGCTCAAGTTTGCGGACGGAGCCCACAACCGGCGTGACGTTGCGCGGTGCATGGCAGAGGCAAACCTCGTCAAGGGAGACTTGTTAGAAATCCTGGCAAAGATATCGCCGACAGTGGTAGAAAGTGGATGGAAACACAAGATCGCAGTGGCCACACGTACGCAGCCATATCTAGTTCTTCGGCTCCCTACTGACTGTCCCAGTCGAACTCCTCGTCCCTCTAACATGGCCCTTTGAAATCGACCCCACCGAAGCCACCGTCAACCATCATCGCCATGGTCCCTACATCCAGCTTGCCCAGATGGGCTACAAGCGTGCAATTCTACAATTTGACCGAGACAGGACCCTCCAGACTGCCGTCAAAATCGCTCTTCCGTCCATGGCAGTGCCCCTCCGAGAACGAACACCCCGAGACGAAGGCATCATTCGCATCGCCCTATACTTTATACGTAATATCGCCATGCTTTCACCCCCGAACAGCGCACCCATGGACATTGACGAAGCCGAGGTGTCTCGTTCTGCCACCATTGACACATTTCATGAGCAGGATATATTCCAGGCCATACTGAGTATCGCGTCAAGCATTGGAGAGGACTTTGTCAGTCAGGATGTCATAATCCTCGAGATCCTGTTCTTTCTTCTCAAGGGAATCGACGCTGAGAAGTTGTTCATGGAGGATAAGAAGCTGAATTCAAAGAACAACGACGAACTCAAGAGCCTGATCCAAAAGGAAAAGGCCATGCTTGCAGGCTATGCACGCAACGCACCAACTAGGCACAATCGATTTGGCACAATGATCTGGATAAAACGAGACGACGAGAAAGTCACCACAATCTCCGGACAGGACGTGCTGGGCAAGGCGCAGGCCAGTATGCAAAAGATGGATGAAACCAAAAAGTGGAACAAGCCCAAGCGACCCGGACGCAAGCAAGATAGCGCTGAAGAGAGGGAGGAGTTTGATTTGCCAGTACCCCTGACCTCTTCAGCCCGGAAACACATCAAAGCCTTTGTGGAAGAGTTCCTCGACTCGTCATTCAACCCCCTGTTCTTACACCTTCGCAAGGCTATTGAGCGTGAAACCGAAAGAGTCGAGACACGACATCCCAGGCAGTTCTTTTACCTTGTTTCATGGTTTCTACGAGCAGAATGCGCTCGCCGACGGACAATGAAGGAAAGAGCCGCTGATCCCAAGAGTCCAGAGGTTTTGTCTGCAGAGGACGAAAGCTACGGTCTGGTTGCCGAGGTCATGAACCAGGAGACATTTATCCTACTCAACCGCTTTATGCAGAGGAGCCAGGACGAGAAGGCATGGCGAGATCTGAATGCTGGACTCAAGTGCTTCACACAGATCCTGCTCACTGTTCACGAAATGTCCGAGTCGGCATTAGAAGATGACCAGGAGATTGCTGAGAACATCCAGAACCGCATCTTTTATGAAGAAGCAACACATGACCGGATAGTCGCCATCTTGAGATCATACAAAGATCAAGGTTTCGGCTACCTAGACGCCGTCACTGAGCTATCTCATGTCTTTTTACGGATGCTGGAGCGCTACTCCAAGCAGAACGTGGACATGCAAATTCGATCAAAACGAAGGACACGGAAAATTAAAAAGAAGAAGGCAGAAAAGCAGGGCGAAGAGGCAGAAGAGGAAGGCCATGTTTCCGAAACCGAAGACATTCAACAAGCTCAGAAGACTGTTTCAGAGCGCAAGTTCGATTTTCACCGCTTTTCGGCAAAATTTGTGAACCAGAGCAGTATCAATACCTTTGTGGCCTTTACCAGGTACTTTAATGATCTGGATACTGAGCAGTTGAAGCGCGCACATCGCTTTTTCCACCGCGTGGCATTTAAAATGGAGCTGGGGGTTCTCCTATGCAGAGTCGACATTCTCCATCTATTTAACAAGATGATGAAGGGTCCTGGAGGTCTCGATCCCGAGTCGCCAGTTTACAGGGAATGGGACGAGTTTGTCAAGCACTTCTTCAGGCAAGTAGTGAAGAAAGTGCAGGAGAGGTCAGAGCTTGTAGTCGAGATGTTGTTCAGCAAGATTCCAGCAACTCTCTTCTTCCTCGAACATGGGTACGAGCGTGAGGTACCAACAAAAGCACCACGAGCGCCGGCAGAGCTGGAAGTTAAGCCTGGTCTCGAACCACCCGAGCAAATTGGTGTTGCTGTTGGCGTACTTGTCAATCAGTCTAAATCAGACGCCCTTCGATGGGTCCGAGATGTTCTCACATCGGCGGCTGAGGAGCGGAAGGCGTGGGAAGAGGCTGCAGAAGCACAGAAGTTATTGACGGCAGAGATGGAGCGCCCTGAGGACGAAACACCAGCTGAAGATGCAGAGGCTGAGACAGCAAAGCCTCCATCCATTGGTAAGCAATATCTGGAAGATCATCTTGCTACATTGGCTGACTGATTGTGTCCAGTGATTAAACATGACACCGAAGAACGTCGTGTTGCCATGTTCAAAGACAACAAGCTACGACTACTCATGAAGTTGGTTGGCTTTGAGCGACTGGGTGAACATCACGACCCAGATGCTGTGTGGGTCGTACCATCAAACCTCACATCAGCACAACTACAAGAGTCTATCGATCTCATCCGCAAGTTTGAATTCGACCCGCCAACATACGAGGATGGTAAAACACCAGAAGATCTACTCCGCAGCGCGACCGCTGCCACACGCCGCTCAACACGCCGTGTTGACTTCGACGATGATTCAGACAATGGCATAGATGATGACCCTGAAGACCACGGCGAATACGCCCAAGGCGGTCCCACAACACGTGAAGGCGACGCCCCCCGCAAGAAACTCAAGCGGCGCCGCCGCCAACACACACCCGTCGAACTCGACGACGAAGAGAAAGACCGCCGCGCCGAAGCCCGCCGCAAAAAAGAAATCGAAAAGCAAGCAAAAGCCCTCAGCACAATGTTCGTCCACGATTCGGATGACGAAGACTGGGATGCAGAAAAAGACGCCGCCTTCTTCGCCCGCGAAGAAGCCATCCGCCAGGAAAACATGCAGGTATTCAAGAAATCACTCGTCCTTGGTACCGTCGAGCCTGTTGCTTCAAAGAAGCGGAAAGCAGATGATCAGACTGAGAAAAGTAAGAGGCGCAAGAGTCCGCCAAAACGGAAGGCGCTGTTTGATGATAGCGACGATGATAAGGAAGATGAGGATCGTGCAAGTAGTAGAGCCACATCCGAAGCTGCTGGAAACGTTCTAGATGACGAGGAAGAGGAGGAGGATACTCCGCTCTCCTCGCAAAATCCTGGGGCAACGACGGCGAGTGATGGAGATATTACGCCGAGGAAGGAGTCAACGGTTGAGAAGAGTGTGGATGTTACGATGACAAATGCGGATTCGGATGATGACGATGATGATGATGTTGCTGCGCCGACTAGACGGCCGGCGAAGCGGAATACGAGGGCAGGGTTTGTAGTTGATAGTGATTCGGAGTGAGGAGGGGGTGGGGGGTGGGGTTTTAGTAGCTTTGATTTGTGCTGTGGGATACCCAATCTTTTTTTACATCAACGAAAGCTTTTGTTGTGATTGGGGTAGGTTGTGTTGCGTGTTTGTGATGTCTTGGAAGTAGTGATGGGAGATAGCTTGTCATCTTTTACAGTGTGTCCAGGGTGAAGTATGATAACGGAGGTGGTAGCATGATATTCTAAACCGGCATGTTTAAGGACTTTAGAGTAATCGTACATACTTCTCGCTGGGTAAAGCATAGCAGTAGAGGCTCGTTCGAGAGGGAATGTCTGGGGTGCTGGACTTTCTTGTGGTCGAGAATTGTGCCTAGGTCGTCAGCACAGATTCATTATCTGGGTGAGATGGTCGTGATCACGGTTAAGAGGCAGAGTGTATCTTGTAGGGTGCAATTCATGTTCATTTGATCAAGTTTGGTCTGTGATAATCTGCAGGCCAGACCTGAAGAGTGGAGTCTGTCAGTAGACCTGAGTAATCTAGAATACATGATAGCAAGTCGTATGCTTGCTTTGTCCAAGGCTTCGCCCGTTGCATGTTATCAAGTACAGTTCCCGTGGCTGTTGTAGCGTCCTGGTTTCTAGTCGTAGTGAATCTCACGATCTCAGGGGGGCGGGCGCGTTCCAACTATGGCTTTCAATGCATCTACCAGAGCTTGTTGAGGATACGTATCAAGAAAATCAAGAATACCGCTATTCAGTTCGTCTTCCCACAACGTATCTTCAAGGTTTGAAGTAAGCAAACGCCGAAGTGGAGAATTCGAAGGGGTCCATTCGTAAATCATCTTGACACACTCTGCTGTAGGCCAGCCCATACTGGTAGCTAGGATCTCTTGCATCTTCTCCGAGACCTCTTTCGTGAAAACTGAATCGATGATCTTTTCTCCGAAGATGTATGCTTTCGTAAGCACAATGAAGTTTTTCTCCGCTTCTCTGGCCTCCTGTTCACCATTACTTTTGTTTGCTTTGTGCGTCATGTATAGCTTGGCTGGAATTTCATTCGAGTAAAGCCATTCAATGTATATTTTGACCGTTTCCGTGCAATCCTCAGGAAGATTGATGACATGGGGTTTATCTTTCGAGCCAGCCCACTCCTTTTTCATGGCGTTTTGAAAGAAACTTGAGCTCTGGCAAAGGACACCTTGGTGAACATGAATGTTATCAGTACCACCAGCGGTGTTTTTGACTTTCAGCGTGATGATTGGGTCGAGTGCGCTATGTTTGTTAGAGACTGAATATACGTTCGTGGGTCGTACTTACTCCATCTTGGTCGTCGTGTATAAAGGAAGGCTTCTCGATTTGTGCGGTCAGAGCCAGTATTCTGATAACACTCGCAGGTGAGTTCAAAGGAAGGAGCGCAGTCGCAGTTTGCGCTGCAAAATTCGAGTGGTTATTTGCGTGGGCTTGTGAAGCAGTGAGAGCAAACGATGGTTAATCTCGTCGTGTGACTGTGGTGCAAACGCCGTAGACTAAACTATGACGTCGCTATATACAGTGAACGAAGGCAGGTAACTCATAAGTGAAAGTGAAAGAGGATAAAACGCAACTCACGGACTCACTAGACACATATCGTAATGAGTTAAATTGTATACTTCCTTACGCTGACGAAATGGGAACCCCTACCACGAGGTATGGTAGGGATATGGTAATGGTCACACGGGCCAAGGATAAGGGTAGGGGAGGGTTACCAAGAGTTGGGTAGAGGTAAGGGTAGGGTAGCACGGGCTGTGGGTAGAGGTTGGGTAGGGGTAGGGTAGGATCCTTCGTAAACCCAACCCTACTCTACCTTTACCTCTACCATTTACCACCGCATAGCTGCATATAACGCCACCGAAGCCGAGTAGTACTGAATCAAATCACCAAACGAGAACAGGACTGCATTTCAAGCACACTTGTACGAATTCCATCTGATAAACTGATCTATCTGATAAACTGATCTATCTGATAAACTGATCTATCTGATATATCTCGCCTTGACAAGAAGAGGATCCTTCGCCCACAAGAAATGCACCTTCTGATCAAGCCAATTCGAACTTTCGGGACACAACTCGAAATCAAAGTGCCAAGTAAGCGATGCGAGAATAACGCGCATCTCATGATTAGCCAGGCTACCAACACCCCAAAGCGTTAGTTTGTGTGTCTCTCTTTGGTTTAAAATCTTTTTGGATGATTGGATGAACTCACTTTTGACCAATACAGTTGCGCGGCCCAACAGAAAATGGATTGTGTACATTTTTGCGATCGCTGTCGTAACCGGTTCCAGGGAGCCAGCGCTCGGGAATAAAGGAATCTGGATCTTTGAAGTTGGAAGGGTGGTGGTAGGCAGCGTAGTGGGGGATAGCGACTTTAGTCTGTAGTGATAGATTAGCGAAGCCGTCATGTAGTTCGCACTATTATCGTAGGATGTGACTTACGCCTCCCGGTATCCATTCTCCACAGATCATGTTGCCGCCCTTTGGTGTGATGCGGAAAAGGGCAATTGGGGCAGGCGGGTAGATTCTAAGGGCTTCTTGGAGACATGCGTTGAGGAAAGGTAGACGGGCTAGGTTTTCAAGGTTCAAGTCTTCCCTGCCTAGCGCACGCACCTCGATCTGTAGTCTCTGCATGTAATGTGGATGCTTTAGCAGGAGGAATGTCAAGCCACTGAGTAACGTGGCGGTAGTTTCCGTTCCAGCCATCATGAATGCTTGTGCGTGGGCCGTCATCTGCATCTTTGACATGTCTGATACTTGATCTGTCTTCTCCATGGCAAGCTTCCAGATGTCGGGTTTCCCAATGTCGATGCCGCGATTCAGCCGCTTCTCTACCCGCTCGTAGGAGTGGTTGTAGTGGAGACGTGCGCCATCCATGACTTCTTTGGTGATGAGCATTTTAGTCAGAAATTTCAACCCCTTATACTCGCGCGCCAGACGGGCGATTGAAATTCTTCGGACGTTTCCAAGGACGGCTTGGACCCAAGGCGATAACTCTGATTGATCGAGGAGGCCAAGAGGCTCTCCAAAAGCTAGATCTGCCATAACATCAAAGGTCATACAGTTGAGTAGTTTGGCGATGTCGAATTCAACAGCTGGGGTAGTTGTTGCGTTGTTCTTGATGATCCTTACGAGTGAGTTGAGGTAACCTTGGATCAATGGCTCTTGTAGCTTCAAAGCCTTGTCGCTAAATGCCGGTGCAAAGACCCTTCGATGCATCCTGTGAACCATTGTGTCGGGCTGGGAGCCTAAAGACAATGTACCGGCGAAGTCTGGTCCAAATGTTCCTGGGTCTTTCGTATTCTCGAGGCGCTTGCCCGCTCCAGGGCCAGCGATATCTTTCCAAGCTTCAGGTGTCACGTAACTTAGTCGATTAGGTCCAAGCCGCACAACCTCGCCGTATTTCCTGTGCATTTCTGCTTCCCATGCGACCTCTTCGCCACGTAGAACTTTGTAGGAGAATACCAATCCAGTGGCTGCTGCGAGACTTGGACCGGGAACTAGTGGGGCAACTTAGTGGACGGCCTCGTTCGGACGAGTAGACTGGACCTACATTTGCTTAAAGGGTGGAGATATAAATTATAGAAGCGGGTAAGGATGAATTGTAAGATAGCCTGCGTTCTAGTCAACAAGTTGTCAAGATGCAATAGTGATAGGTTCCCTTACTGCTCCAAGCATAAAACCAAAAAGCAGCAATAGATTTTTGGCTTCCAGAAAGGTAGAGACATGGTAAGAATGTTGTAAATTCCCCATGTTGAAGAATCAGGATTCAAGTTATACGTTTGGAATCTTCTCTGTGTCGCAGTGGTTGTCCAAAAGATGTTTGCAATAGCTAAGCAACAGCGCAAGAAGGGGAGTTCTTAAACTGCAGATGATGGACGATGTTCGTACGAGCCATATAGTGGATATAAAGCAAAAGAATGTCTGATTGGTTACCAAGACCCATTTGCGATCATCGTACTATAGGAGGTGGGGTATCGGAGAATCGGAGCATCGGAGCATCGATGTAACAATACATGAGAACAAGAGAAAGTGAGTAGTGCACAACTGTAACCACACAAATTGAGAACTTGGTTTTCTGGAATTTGGCGGGTTTTCACACTTGAGCGCCGTCTCTCGACGCTACTTGGCCTGCATGCTAGATATGTAAGCTTCTGGATTACTCTGTCCTAAGATATAGGAGAAAGCTACTGCAAGTATCAAAGGTCCCAATATGACTTGGAGCCTGTAAGTAAAAACCATGTGTAACTTTGTAAAACATTTTGTAGAGTGCGCCATTATGTAGAGAGAGAGATAGGAACATAGCTAGGATCAAGGTACTTGTTAGACTATTAGGTTGTTGTGGGCACAAAGAGAAGGCAACAATAGTAAAGGTTGTTAAACAGTCTGTATTCACTATGAATAAACAGCTGCAGAGATAACGTAGTGTTCGTTGGGCTTACATCTACTTCGCTAAGTAAGATGTGACCAAGCAGGCCTGGTTTGGACCAATAGACCCCAAAGGCAGCTATAGGAGTTCAGAACAGGCTAGACGCTGACAGCGCTCTCTTTAGACCAGTAAAAAAGTAGCGTTCTTAGTATTGAGATGGCTACTGGTGCTAGCATAGAAGTACTAAGGCAGTTCGCCGACAATTAGGTCCAGGTCAATGTCGTTCACTATCCGTTCATTATTCCTGTTATTATTACCGTCGTTAATCCCGCCCTTTCTTTGTCTCGCTCCTTTGACGCTAGTAGGGAGAATAGACCATCTTAAAATATGCGTCCATGGGGTCATCACTAGCATGGAAGGAGCACGCAGAGCCAACATTCTCGTATCGAAATGGACTGGTATACTAGTTGTCAATAGTTGATGCAAAGCTGCCAGTCATACCCACGCTGTCAATGTGATGTCATGTAAGTGTGGCACCCTTAAGAAGGCGTAGCTCCATACCAAACGTATAATCTTACATTGAATTGGTGCAATCCAGGCGGCCTGCTTGATCTAATTCTATAAGGCGTTGCCAATTTTGGCTCGTCAATGTGCACTAGGGATGGTATAACATTAATTCTGGAGTAATTATTGCAAATCTTTTCGTAGAGGAGACTATTGGATGCCTCAGCTGCTGTAATAAAGTCTATAGCCATTCTGAATACAAGCACACTTTGGAGTACACAATTTTCGAATGTGCAGGTTGCATAATATTTGCTTCCACCAGCAGCACGGCGGGGAAACTATGACAAATTCTCGTAGCGTTTGTGAGGGGGACGCGAAAATTCAAAGTTTGAAGATTGCTCGATGACTGGGCCGATATCGTGGTCTAGAATGATTATGTGATTATGTCGAACAAGGATCCGGCATGTGGCCAATGGCATACTTTGAGGTTGTCAATGAAATATACGTACTAAATATAGATGCTTGCCAGATTTTTTGATCAGAAACGGTCTTGGATGCGTGTTTGTGTCAGTCAGCATCAAGATGAGAGGTCGTAGTAGAAAAGCTAAGCTGGAAAGTTCGATCATCTGTGTCGCGTGCTTGCAATTCATCCCATCCAGATGGATGACAGTATGCTTACTGCTGTTGCAGGAAATTTATATGATCCAGATGCATGCTGGCGATGTCAGAGAAAAGGCGATGAAGATTGTTTACAATTGGGTTTGGTTGGGCTTGAAGGCTCGTTTGTTGGGCTTACTGTTGTCCTGGTCCGACCGCGGCACAGTTGCCATCCCGAGTTGTCGCCGCCACCAAGCCTCTCACGGGAAGAGGCGCACCCTTCAGCTGCGTGCCAACATTCGCCAGCCAATGATGCCTCGTCGACCAATCTCTCCTATAGTCTTATTCAAAAGGGACATGACTGCTGCAGATGAGGCTGGAGCGGACAATGGCTTCAGTGCCAACAAGGATGCCGGGTAGATAGCCGAGATGGTGTGGCCGCCATGGCGGGATTGCGGGAGTTTGGTTCGTCCAGACTGGAAGCGCGGCAGATCGACGGTATGGAGACCTTGTCAAAATTCAGGTAGCGGCGCAATTCGGAGGGGACAGGGCAGATACATAGAGGGCCAGTCTCTCCTGACTCTGGGTTCTAGCTCGATACAACGGATTCCGCCGCTTCTTCTTCGGTGCAGCAACTGGAGACGAGTGGATCACTGTGGAGAAGAACAGTCCGGAAACAAGAGTGACATCACCAACACCACCATTCCTATCCCACCTACTTACGTATTCTTCCGCCCTGCATGTCCCCTGCGAGCTGGCACTTGGCAGCATGAACCGAACCGCCCAGCATCTCGCAATCGGCCGACCGCCTCCCGCCGATAGCTTCCCATCCATTGCCAGCATCCAGAGGCCGGAATCACGTGCGTCGACCGAGTCGGTGTCGAGTGCAGAGGAAAGGCTACAATGGCGCAGTCACCCCAATGTCGCAACCCCATTTCCCGACTCGCCGGAACACAATCCCTTTGATGACCCCAATCTAAACTCGTCATTGCCGCCGAGACACCAGGCCGACGGTGCGCACGAGCAGACACAGAAGGAACAAGTCGAGGATGCGTGCAACGACGATTCAAAGACTGACACAAACGCATCCGACAAGACCGAAGAGCCCAGGCCTTTGGCTCCCATCATCAGCAATGTCAGCACCAAGCGTAGCGCCCGAGGCACCCTCAAGAGTGATGTACCCGAGAAGAGGAAGCAGCTGAGCTTCAAGGAGCGAATACGGCATTTTACCTGGACCTGGTTTTGTCTTACAATGGCTACTGGAGGCATTGCCAACGTCCTGTACAGTGTCCCGTTCCGCTTTCGAGGCCTCTACGCCATTGGCTGCATCTTCTTCATCCTCAACATTGTCTTCTTCCTATTCAACTGCATCATGATCTCTTTCCGTTTCTACTTTTACCCTCGCACATTCAAGGCCTCATTTCTGCATCCCACCGAAAGTCTCTTTATTCCTGCCGCCGTAGTCAGCTTCGGCATCATCCTAATCAACGTCAGCCAGTACGGTGTCGGCCATTCAGGCTTGGGCAATTGGCTGGAGAAGATCATGATTGTTTTGTTCTGGATGGACTGCGGCCTTGCTGTCTGCTTCTCCGTAGGCATCTACTTGCTCATGTAGGTCGTTCCTACCAGTCGCCTCGCTCATGTACATACTAACCAACGTAGGTGGTCTACAACAACATTCACAATCTCCCAAATGACACCCATCTGGATTTTCCCCGCCTACCCACTGTTAATTATCGGTCCCCATGCTGGCAACCTAGCCCCCAAGGTCGACAACCCAACCACAGCCCTCACCATCATCCTGACCGGGTATGTTATCCAAGGAATTGGATTCCTTGTCTCGCTCATGATCTATGCTGCTTTCATCTACCGCCTCATGACACAGAAGCTCCCTAAGGAGTCGCTTCGCCCCGGTATGTTCATCAGCGTTGGTCCCTCGGGTTTCACCATAGCAGGAGTTGTCACAATGGGCCAAGAACTTCCGAGGGTTGTCGCGAGTGACTTCATGGGAGAGGGAAACGGCGAAATCGCAGGCAAGGTCGGCATGATCTGCGCAAACTTTCTCGGACTATGGCTCTGGGGCCTTGCACTCTGGTTCTTCCTGATAAGTGTTGGCGCTCATTGGTCTTGCGCTAGGCGAGGAAAGATGGACTTCGCAATGACGTGGTACTCGTTCATCTTCCCCAACACTGCACTGACGACATCCACCTTCGCCATCTCCCGATGCCTCAACGGCAACAAGCCCATTGCATACATTGGCTGCGCCATGACTGTTGGCCTCATAGCCATGTGGTTTTTTGTCATTTTCATGAACGTTCGGGCCGTCTTCATCCACCAAATACTCTGGCCAGAGAAGCAGGAGGATAGGACCGAAGGAGGCTGGAAACAGCAGACTGCTGAAGAGCAGCAAAGGAGACAGCGCGAAAGAGAACTTGCTGATGGAGGAGAAAGCATTAGAGAACGCGCATGGAACAGAGCCAAAACTTTTCAGAGGAGAGATCGGGCTCCTACCTTTGATGGCCAGGGAGCACCCATGCCATCATTGGCCAGGGCCCAGACTGAGACAATGGCTAGGAAGAGGAGATGGAGTTTTAGAAGGTGAATGCAGAACATGAGGTGTAGTCATGATTTGGAATATGGAGTTGCATTGGAGAGCTCAAGGTTGTTTGTCGCTTTTGTGTCGAATTAGTTGATACCCCTATAAGCGTTTCGCATTAGATTGTACCACTTTTGCATTTACGGATAGAAAAAATTGCAGTCTCTTTATGGGTCACAAGAATTTAACTTTGAGTCACTAACATGTCGTTTCCAAAGATTTTCTTGCAGTGAGAGTTTGCACGTTGATTGATCAAGACCCACGGCTGTTGCCGTGACGTAGTGGGGACCGTTGCTCCACGACATCCCCACCTCGGCTTCTCCGCAATCACTACTTGACACCAATATCAAACTCCGATATACCACAACAGCTTGAATAGAAGGTTAAGGCTTTGCACATCAATTCAATAGAATTCGTCAGGCGAATTCGGTGAGTATTGAACTCTAAAGTACCCTCGCATATATTTTGACTCACGTTGAAGCAACCTGAACTTTTTCCTTTTAACCACCCACGCACACCATTTCCCAAGTTTATCCTTTTTGATATCCTCATTGTTTTATGTAAAACCCTCGGTATTCTCATTTTGTGCCAAGTAACACTAACTGAGCACTCGTCAGGCTAATTACCAACCCTCGAACCTCTCTTTCACTTCAAGACTCATACTCTAGCCTGAAATGGCGACCGGTGATAACAGCCAGACCGGACCTTCTCAAGTCAACGCACCCAAAAGTGGCGGAACCCCAGCAAATACAGTCTCAATTGGTGCCATGGGCGATCAAGCAAGTACCGGCCCTGGCGACATCGTCTACACGCCCCCCGAATCCGTCACTGGCATAGCTTCCTCGGTCGGAAGTGACAGCACCTCAGCAACGACCCTACAAAATGCAAACGCATCAACACACCAGGGCATCTCCGGCGCAGGTTCAAACATCAGCAAGCGCGAATACATCTACTTTCTCCCATATCCCCTCCCACCCGGCACCGAAGTCCCCTACTCCATCCACCTCCCCGAGAAAAACCCACTGAACCTCCCCTCTCACCAATTCGAGCCTACAAACACCCTCGTTCTAACCAGTCCCCTCCGCACTTTCGTCGATATCCGCGTCTACAAAGCCTTCACCACATCTACCGCACCTACCCCCAACAGCATCGACCAAGGCTCCCAGCAACGCCTCGAATGGGCCTTCGCCGGTACTTCGACATCCGTGCCTATCCAGCCCTCCAGCGCCTCCGACAGCGGAACCCAAAAACCACAAGAAGACGAAGAGTGGGAAAACGTAACACATTCTACATGGAAGCACTGGCTCGATTCGCGCTACAGCGTCGGTGATGCCAATATCCCCGTGGACGAAGGAGATATGTATCCACTTTCTGAAGAGTTGACGCTCGAAGTGGGACATGCGTATCATCCAGCGCTTGAAGCGGTAAAGACGCATGAGGAGATGTGGCGAGATGAAGAGATCAAATCGACATGTCTCTCTGCGGCTGGTAAGGAGGGAAAGAAACTTTGTGTTGTGCTAAGGTGCCGCGATGATGCTGCGGGGGTGAGAGGCGTGATTGTGCGTGTGGGACAGTATGTACAGGGTATATTGATGCAGGGGGATAAGACGACGGTGGAGCGCTGGGAGTGGGCGGTGGAGAATGAGGGGGTGGATGAGATGGCGAAGTGGCAGCGGACGGTGAGGATTGGTGCTGCGTTTCTGCCCTGTGCCGTGTGTTTCCGAGATGCAGTTTTAGCGGTGGGAGGGAAAGTGCGTTATGGAGAGTTTGAATGGGTGGTTGAGGAAGTTTGGGGGTGGGTGTGAAAGAGAAAAAAAAGATGATTGAGATCGATTGAGCAACAGTTCGGAAAGATAACTACATGCTTTCAGCAATCGTATCCCCACCCTCCACCCTGCACACTCCTTCCTACCGCAAAACTCAAGTCCATCCCCCGTCCCCCCTGCACCGCCCTCGCAACCCTTACCCCCTCACTCAACACACTCAACGCCCCATCCACACCCGCATGCCCCGTCAGCGACCCGGGCATACTCGGATCCTCATCGCGCGCCATAACACGCCTCATCATATCCTCAGTAGCCTCGCCCTGAAACCGCTCAAGCGCCAAGCGACGAATCCCCACCTTCCACATGTCAAACCACTGCTCCTCACTAACCGTCGTATACCTCTTCTCGCCGCGCTCATCCGTTGTCGAAAACGGCCATTCGGCACGCACAACGGCGTAGCGCCTAGTGGCAAAGAACAAGACGGGCCAGGAGAAAATCCAGAGAAAAGAGAGGTAGAAGAGCCAGCAGACCCATGTTTTGAGGCGGAGAGTGTTGATGCGGTTGGAGGTGTAGATGTCGATGTTTGCTTCTTCGATGGGGAAGGTGATGCTGATGTTTCCGCGGTAGTCTGTTGAGCGGAGGAGCCCTGTGATGCGGTTTCTGAGCTGGGTTTCTTCGAGGCCGGTGATTTGGCGGCGGAGGCGGAAGATTCGCAACATCCGGGGCGAGGCGCAGTAGCGGTGGCACCATTCTGTGAGTGAAGGTGGGGGAGAGCTGCCGATTTCTATGTCGTGGTTTACGCCGGGGGCGCGGTGGGCGAGGATGGTGCCGCGGTGGGTTTTTTCGCCGTTGGAGACGGTTACGAGGGACATTGGGGAGGTGTCGGAGGGGTTGAAGTTTGGGTGGAGGTAGTATTGGAGGTTGATTACGATGCGGAAGTCGGTTACGTGGTGGGTTTCTTTCTTGTTGTCGTTTTTGCGCACGGTTTCTTTGTGCGTGCCCATTATGTAGATGAGGGGGACCGGGGCCGAGTTGGCATAGGCACGGATAGCTTCTTCGAGTTGGGCTGGGTCGGTGTCGTAGGCGGGCTCCATGACATCGACGGTCTCGACTACGCAGGGCTTGCCGTACTTGAAGCTGGGGCGGTCGTGGTTTGTTCGCGTCGAGGGTGGTGCCACATGGCGGATGGGGATCGCTGAGGCGGGAACATGATTGCTGGCTTCGCTGTCGCTGTAAGAGGGAGGGAGGCCAGAGGGTTCTGGTAGGTCGGTGTATGCGTAGTCGTCTGGTGTGGTGTGGAGCGACACAGCTTCAGGGTCGTCGCGATAGCTGGGTGGAGGAGGGACAGGCTTGCCCATTTTGATATATAGGGGTGGACAGCACGATGGGAAGAAAGTTATTAAGAGAGAAGAGATAGTGAAATAAGAAAGGCAATCATCAGCCCTAATAATATCCGGAGGATGGCAGGCGACCGGTGAAACGCCACAAGAGTCTCAGCGCCCATGATCAGGCAACCATTGGTTTATTGGCCTGCGAAGGATTCTGAGACGCGCCAAGCATCTGCAGCTGCAGCCATAATTTCAAATATCACGAGGTTATGTCCATGTTGGTAAATGTCTATAGAGGAAAGTCACGTTCACGTGCGATTCGTCGTATGTATCTTGAGACGAGGTGTGGTGCAAGCATATCGCGGGGAAGGGTCAGGCACGGAGACGCTAGTGAAGCTTAACTCCGGAGCCAAAAATTTGGAGCTCGACGCGACAGCGGCTCGACCAAGGACACTGCATATTCACTGAACAGTCATATCCCGTGTCTGACTGGACTACAACCTCAAATCTGGCCTCCGTCATACCCTGCGTCCGCCGTATATGTGGATTGCGAGCGCGCCCAGTCATCACCCACAAAGCATGGGCTACCGGTAGCTCTCTTCTTCGCGCATTCCACCCAACTTTCGCAATGGCCTCCAACGACGTTCCTATGGCCGACGCGGCGGCGCAAACCATTGACGCAGTTCCCCAAGCCGGTCAGCATATATCTCATGAAGGAAAAGAGTACACCACCATCAAGGAGGGCCTGGCGCATATTCTCGTCCCACATGGCGTTCCGACCTCGACCGACCCTAAACTGTCCAAGGAAGAGACCCAGAAGCAGCAGGTCTTTTACAACCCTATTCAGCAATTCAATCGCGATCTGAGCGTTTTGGCCATCAAGACATTTGGCGAGGATTCTATACGGCGGAAATTGAACAAGCATGAGCAGTTCAGGAAGAAGAACGAGCGCAAGAGACAGCGCGCGCAAGCAAGTCGGGCACCAGGAGATGTAGCGGAACCAGTCGACGAAGCGCCCGAAACATCTGGCGCCGAGGATGAGGCGACCAGAAAGAGGAAACTTGCGGAGCTTGAACTGGAGAATACTGCGGGTCCTTCAAAGAAGCAGAAAACCGCTCCAGACGGGAGCGAGGAAGAAGTGGAGAGCGGAGAAAAAACATCCTGGAAACCACCCTTTAGTATTCTCGACGCACTATCTGCTACCGGTCTGCGTGCTCTCCGATACGCTAAAGAGATTCCCTTCGCAACCGCTGTCACTGCTAACGACATGTCTCCCAAGGCGGTAGAATCGATCAAGCTCAACGTCAAGCATAACAAGCTGGAGGACATCGTTACGGCCAATACAGGCAACGCTATAGCCTACATGTACAGCTTCTGCGACAAAAAGGGCTACGATGTCATCGACCTTGATCCATACGGCACTGCCGCTCCTTTTATTGATGCAGCTATTCAAGCCGTCAATGATGACGGACTGCTATGTGTCACCTGTACCGATTCGGCCATATTTGCGTCGCATGGATACCTCGAGAAGACTTACTCGCAATACGGTGGCCTACCCTTCAAGGGCGAGCCATGTCACGAGGGCGGACTGCGCTTGATCTTACATGCCATAGCATCCTCGGCCGGTCGCTATGGCATGGCCATTGAGCCTTTACTGTCCCTCTCCATCGACTATTACATTCGAGTCTTTGTGCGAGTGCGAAAAGCGCCCAACGATGTGAAGCTACTCGCTGGCAAGACAATGCTCGTATATCACTGTGAAAGTGGCTGCGGCGCATGGTCTACGCAGTTCCTTGCACGAAACAAGGTCACCAAGAACAAAAACGGCGACCCGATGTATAAACATGGCTTTGCCCAGGGACCTTCCGCGGATCAGCATTGCGAGCATTGCGGGCACAAGACCCACCTCTCGGGACCAATGTATGGTGGCCCGCTGCATAACGTTGGTTTCATCGAAAGAGTACTAGCGCAGCTCAATGAGGCAGACCGACAGACGTACCCGACAATGGATCGCATACAGGGCATGCTGCACACCGCGTTGGAGGAAATCACGTTTGGAGCAAAGCTAGAAAAGTCGAATGGCGCACAAAAGACGGAGGTCCTGGATCCCCTTATTCCCAAGGCCGATCCTGCAGAGATAGATCACCACCCCTTCTTCTTCATACCCAGCGCAGTCGCCAAGGTAGTTCATTGTTCCGCTCCGCCGTTGGCAGCACTACGGGGAGCACTACGACATGCAGGGTTCAGGGTGACGATGAGCCATTGCAAGCCGGGATCGATCAAGACAGATGCGTCGTGGAAAGACATTTGGCACGTTATGCTTGAATGGGTGCGGCAACGAGCACCGCTCAAAAACCCAATCAAGAAGGGAAGCCCGGGACATGCCATAATGGAAAAGGCCAGTGGAACCGGCTATACCAGAAGCACTGCTCAAGAGCCAGCGCCTGCTCAAGCGGTGTCTGCCGACCCAGCGCCAACAGCGCAAGAGGATGCCGAAATGGCCGATGGTGGCTCAGAGACTAACGGGACGAAGCAGCTGCCAGCTTACCTCGAGACCAAGTTCGAGGTCAACTTTGACGAAAAGCTGGGCAGGGATCATGACCGGGGAAAGTACGTCCGCTACCAGCTTGCTCCACGCGAAAACTGGGGCCCAATGGCACGCGCAAAATGATTCAGGTATAACGAATGAAAAAAATGGAAAGTAACGCATCCCTGCTTGCACATGTTGTCGTTGCGATGTCGCCTTGCATTTGCATTGTTTTGCAGACTCGTCTCCAATAATCATCATCTCCGCATCCGCCAAACATGGGCAGACGTTGCGCAAGTCAAACGTCATCGCACTTGTGCTGAGCCAGGACGACAGCAACCACCAATCGCCCCACCAGGTAGTTTCAATTAATCTCGTTCGCACCATTTTCGTGCGTCTGTTGTTTTTTTTTTCTCATATCCCGGGCGATCGTTTTTCAATTCTTACGCTGCCTCCAGCATCTTGGGCCGGGGCGACACTGGCATGCCTGCATGCCCGCATCTAGCAGCCAAGCGGAGATTTGTCTGCATCTGTGCCTTGCATATTGGCTGTTAGGCGACCGGCTGATGACGACCATGTGGATAAACGTTTTGACGAGATGCTCGAGGAAGGAGTATACGCGAGGGCAAGACTCCGCGGAGTAGGCTGGCTAAGATGTGCCTGATTTCTCAGCACAAGTTGTAGACCCGATGTAGGCTTAAGCGTTGTGCTACTCCCGAACAAGGTCGGAACGGTTGACTTATTTGCAGGGCGGGAACACTAGCGGCTCAAAACTTCGACCGCTCCACCATGTCATCACGTCGTCACGTTCTTAGCACGCGGCAAATACTGCGATCCACCTGCGATCTGCCCCCCTGCGCGCACGCGTTCACGCTGTATCGACAAGTTTTTTACAGGCCCGAAAAGCATAGAGCGTACGATCTTCGCCAATAGCGCACTTGATTTGCCCGCCTCACATGCCCGATGGCATTTCCAAGAAACCCATGTCGTAGCTAACTTCTCTGTGAATGCGGCCTTCACTGCCGCATCCGCTCAGTCATGAAATCATGTCGTACTAGCCTTCTTTAGACGACATACCTGGTTGTCGTTGACACACTGCTTGCAAATTGCGTACAAGTGATGCGGTCACCGGCGCACAGTATCTGGACTAGATGTATATATTGAACTGTAGATGCGCCCTACGTTCAGACCTCACAACATTACGAACCGACAACTCTTTTCAACATGTTGACCAAGAGCCTCTTTGCCACCTCTGTGCTTGCGGCTTTCGCTGCAGCCGCTCCCAGGCCAGACGTGCCAGGCTACACTGATGCGGATGCCAGCTTCTCCGTCACCTTTGACCCAGCTGAGACTCCCGCCACGAGCTTTGGTTCTGATGTCCAGGTTCCTGTGAGTACAATACCCAAAACTAGTCTTGAGTTTATCTGATCATTGATTAGGCCATTCCTACCACTGCTGGCTCGGCCCCTCCCCGAAGGAGCTCCGACGTAACCGGTGCTACCAGTCACGGTCCTTACTCTGGTACCCCAACTACTACCGGAGCTGAGAAGGCACCTACCACCCTTGGCACTGTCATTCCTCCTCTGCCACCAAACCCAACGGCTACTTACTACAACACCAATGGCAAGCCTCAGGACCCCATGCCCATTCCTTACATGCCGGCTGGTGGTCTCGGCACCAATGGCACCCTGCCTCGCTACATGGTGAACAGCGACTTTGACTACGAGTCTATTGCTCTTGGTCTATACCAGGAATGGATTGAGCTTGATCTGTTTAACAACGGTCTTGCTGTCTTCTCTGAGCAAGACTTCCTTGACGCTGGCCTCACTGCTGAGGACCGTGCCTACATTGCCTTTATGGCTATCCAGGAAACTGGCCATGCCACTCTCCTGTCCAACATGCTTGGGGAGACTGCTCCTCCTCAGTGCACATACGACTACCCATTCCGCACTGTCCGCGAGTTTATCGACTTCAACATGAAGGTGACCCGCTGGGGTGAATCTGGCGTCTGGGGGTTCATTGCCCACTTGGACTCTCGCGAGGTTGCCAACATGCTTTCCCTGTCAATTGCTACCGAGGCTCGCCAGCAAATCTCTTTCCGTCAGATGATGGGCCTCCCACCTATGCCCGTATGGTTTGAGACTGGTATTCCTCAGTCGTGGCAATGGACCTACCTTGCCCCCTACATCAGCTCTTGCCCTCAGAACACCACTCGTCTGGCATGGCAGAACTTCCCGGCTCTGTTCATCGACAACCAGCCCAACCCCAACCGCTTCTCGCCCAACGACACCCAGCCAAACGAGGTTGCTGGCCGCCGCCCTTCTGACCCCTCCGACTCTACTATCCCCGCCGATGAAAGCTGTGTAAACGTCAACGCTACTGAGCACCCTGGCTACTCTTGCTCCCCTGGTATCGCACGCAACCGCAGTGAGCCCCTCTCCTTCCCCGGCAGGCTCGTCAACCTGACCTGGGAGAACCCCGGTAAGCCTGTTGGCCCCAACATGTCATACATCACCGACACCGTTGCTGGCGCCCCCGCTTTCGTCGCCTGGGTCTCGCAGCTCAACCTTACCTACACTCCTCTGGAGATTACCGGCAACAACACTGGATACACCTACCAGCCTGCCGGCGAAGTCTACGAGGGAGACCCTGCCGCCAATGACACCATGTTTGTTGCTCTCACCGACTCTGACCCGTACCTTACTCCCTTCAACCTTAGCATGATCAACCCTCATGTTGTTGCCCTTGGTCTTTACCAGGCTGGTTAAAGTGGGAACGTATTGGAAATGTAATGCATCAAAGGCTTATTAGCCGGTTTTAATCTGACAATTGTATGATTATTAGATGGGAAGTGGAAAGAAGTAGTTTATGAAGTTGTAATGATACCAATCTACGAACCAAGCATTCTATCATTGAAATATCCAAAGTCGTTTTTTTTTTCGTGATGTTCGTACTTGACTTTATCTTTTGCCATTAACCTTTTCTGATACTTGCTCTGACAAGCAAAAAGATTATGGAGGCGAATCGATAAATCACACCACACCCCCCACCCTCTCCATCTCCCCCCTCAACCTCGCCATCTCCTCCACAACAACCTGATGATCATCCCACTGCTTCAACCCACTCACCACCACCACCGCAACCATGCCATCGCACCCTTTAATAAAAACCGGTACTCCACCTCCGTGAATCGCATATTGGCCTGCCGTCTCCCCCAGGCCTAGTTTTGCTTTAAACGCTTCTTCGTCGCCGCCGTACTGGTTCTGCAGGCGCCAGGTGCTCGCGGCAAACCGGATCACGGCGGCGCGCTTGCGGGAGATCCAGATGTCGTTGTCGGAGGAGGTGCCGGGGTGGGTTACCTGGGGGGTGGGGGGTTAGTATCAACATTCTCTTTCTCTTTCTTTCTCTTTTGAATCCTGCTGTTTATATTCTTCTTTTTTGAGAGTTTTTTTTTCTAATCGACTTCTTTCTATAAGATTCTTTCTACCTGTGTTTTCCCGCCCCTCGCAAAAAAAACGAAAATGGAGGGAAGGGGGTATAGAAGGGAAAACAACGTACAGCGTGAAATAATACATGCGGTGGTGTACTAATCGTTGAGATGTGCACGACGGCTGGTCTCTCTTCCGTGAGTAGTCTCGTGCGCAGATTGACGCCGAGTTTAAATGCTACGTCTCCGTTCCAGAAGGGGAGCGTGCAGTCTTTTTCTTGCGCTTTGATGGCGTCGATGTCGCGGGGTGCGGTGGCGATGGGGGTGTGGTTGGGGACGGTGACATCGGGGGTTTCCATGTTTTCTTTGGTATATCTTTGAATGTAGTTGGGATTGAGTGAGGGGTTGTTTTTTTTTAGGGAAAGAGAAAGGTGGATTGGGGCAGAAATAAAGAAGGATTAACGGAGGTTTTGAGAGGGAATTGATATAGGAATTGATGGGAAAGAGGGATGCAAGATATAAAAAATGGGAATGGAGGTTGTTAGTAGAACTAAATAGGCAATTGTAACAGTTGCCGATGCCGCCCGTCTGGGCGCTTTTTTTTACAGCTATTATGGATAATTGTGGTTCCCTTGCGGGGAAAGAAAGGTGCGCTATTGTTGGCGCTAGGTGTTTCCCCCGCCGCGATCATTGATCTCTTCTTCTTACCTATAGATGTACTTGAATATTTGTGGATGCGCCTCTAGCTGAGGAGACGATTACTTGGGATCGTGATTTGATTTGCTCAGGGGCATCGTAATCATTACACACACTAAAATCTATATAATGAAACAACAGACTTTTGCGCGGTCCTAAACCGGGCGCCATCTTCTCCATGACTGTTTTTTGACCGGATCAAGCAGCTCGTAGGGTATACGCTAAAGGACTTCAACTCGAAAAGGAGAAAACACACATAGAAACTTTTGAGACCTCAACCCTCCTCAGTGTCCATCTGGTCACGTCCTCTTCTCGCACCTCCACCACGACCCCGTCCGCCGCCTCTACCTCCACGGCCACCCTTGCCCCTCTGCTCATGGAGATCCTTCATCTCCCTAACCGCTATCCTCTGCGCCTCGTTGACTCGCTCCATATACACCATCGCTTCATCCTTGTTAATGACTTCTTCTGGAATCTGCTTACCAAGAGCATTCTCAATGCGCAACCAGATCTCGAGATCGTACTGTGTGACAAAGGAGACCGCCTTACCCGACTTTCCAGCTCGCGCTGTTCGGCCAACACGGTGAACATACGTCTGGGAATCGCTGGGTAGATCGAAGTTAACGACAAGATCGACAGCAGGGATATCCAAACCACGGGCTGCTACGTCGGTGGCTACGAGGATGTCGCGGCTTTGAGTCTTGAACTTGTTGAGTGCGCCTAGACGAGCGGATTGCGAAAGCTGGCCGTGAAGAGGAATAGCGCCGAAACCGAGGGTGCGGAGGAGAATGGCTATGCGCTGTGTCTCGTTGACTGTGCGGCTGAAGATGATGGTTGGGTGGCCAATGTTGTCGTTTAGGAGATGAATGAGGTACAGGTCCTTGTACTTGTGGGGAAGGAAGATGTATCGTTGAAGGAGTGTTGAAACGACTTGATGGGACGAACTGCTGATGCTCACTCGGACGGGATTCTGCAAGGCAGCTCTTTGCAAGCTCTCGACTTTGCTGCTCATGGTCGCCGAGAACAGATATGTGTGTCGTCCTTCTCTAGGTAGTACCTTCAAGATCTTGTCGAGGACCGGTCCGAAATCAAGGTCGAGCAACCGATCGGCTTCGTCGAGAACCATGTACTTGAGGTGCTTTAGGGAGAAGCCTTTGGTATTCTCCAGATGGTCAAGCAGACGTCCTGTGTACTGTCAGCTTCTACTGTTTGATGTTGGACAGACTAGACTCACCAGGTGTAGCAACGATAATGTGTGGCTTCTTGGACAGAGCGATTGCCTGAGGTACCATGTCCATTCCTCCCACCAACGTCGCACACTTGACATTGATGATGCTGCCGAGAGCGTCAACCTGCTGTGCAATCTGATATGCCAATTCTCGTGTCGGTGCCAGTATCAGCCCAAAGAGCGATTGCTGTTTCTCCAGCAGCGCTTGAAGAATTGGCAGGACGAACGCAGCCGTCTTTCCAGATCCAGTTTCAGCAAGTCCAATGACATCGCGACCCTCGAGAGCCAGAGGTATAGCCTGAGCCTGAATGGGCGTCGGGTTCGTGAACTTGAGGTTTTCGCAAGCGTCGCAAAGTTCTTCGCGCACGCCCAGGTCGGCGAATGTCTTCTTTGCCTCGTCTGCGCCAGCCGTAGCAGCCTCCGCCTCTTGATCAGACCCAGATGCATTCGCTACATTCTGGTCTTCGGCATTGTCCGAACCATCCTCGTCTCCCTCCTCTTCGTCATCGCTCGACTCGGGTTCTGGCGGTGGTGCGGGCTTCGCCACAACTTTTTTCGCTGGTGAGCTCGCCGGTCGCGCTTTTTTTGACGACGACGTAGCCGCAACGCGCACGTCTTCGGTTCGTTTTCTCTTCGCAAATCCAGGCATTTTGATATGGATAAACAGTTCAGGAAAGATGTGCGAAAGTTGAAGTCGATACCAGCCTATGGCACGCATGGACCACCGAAATCTTGGCGAAGCGGACCAGACCCACAGAAAAGTTTCCAGTTCGCGACCGGTCGCGACAGAGCAGCCGATTTCACGACATCGACGGCTGCTTTCAGTCGAACACCCCAAGTCCCGCTTTCGCCTATTACTGCGCCATTCCCTGGTTCATTTTCCAAGAATTTTGATACAGACATCAGGGTTGAGTTTCGGAAAAGCCGACTTTGAAGCTGTAGACCCGCCCGAAGACGTACGATTGAGCTGTCGCAATGGCTCGTGGAAGAGGAACTGCGAGGAAGAAGCAGTCGGCAAAGGACAAGGAGTTGGCAAAGAAGCCCGTCGCAGGTCCCAAGTCTATGGTGATCCGGATTGGTGCACAAGAGTGAGTTGGGTTTTGCCAAAAGTCTTTAATCAAGCCGCTCACACAGCTTAGAGTCGGAAAATCTATCTCAGACCTCGTCAACGATGCCAGGCATTGTTTGGAACCCGATACCGCTATTAGGCTCAAGGAGCGACGTGCGAACAAGCTCAAGGTATGCTTCATCCAAAGGCCCACGGTCTTTGTCCTGATCTCTAACAACTTGTAGGATTACCTCGTCATGTGCGGTCCGCTAGGTGTTAGCCATCTGCTCCTCTTCTCTAGGTCAGAAAGCGGCAACACAAACCTTCGACTCGCCCGTACTCCCCGAGGTCCTACGCTCCACTTCCGTGTTGAAAACTATTCTCTCTGCAAAGATATTATCAAAGCCATGAAGCGCCCGCGATCTGGTGCAAGCGACTACTTGGTTGCACCATTGCTCGTCATGAACAACTTCTTGACAAGCGACAGCGACAGAGAGAAGCTGGGGGAAAAAGCGCCGCCAAAGCACCTTGAGAAGCTCGTAACGGACATGTTCCAAGGCCTCTTCCCACCGATCCAACCGCACACCACCCCTCTTCACTCAATCAAGCGAGTTCTCCTCCTCAACCGCGAGCCTCCTTCTGAGGACACCGGGTCCGTCAACATCAGCCTGAGACACTATGCAATCACAACAAAGCAAGTGGGAATACCAAAAGCCATTCGACGACTCTACGCAGCTGAGAAGCTTGTAGGAAGCAGGGAAAGAAAGAAGAGCGCACTTCCTAACCTAGGCAAGCTCGAGGACGTCGCAGACTACATGCTCGACCCCTCAGCAGCAGGCTACACATCCGCCTCGGACACGGAACAAGACACAGACGCCGAAGTCGAAGTCACAGCTCCAGTCCGCCAAAAAGTGCTTTCGCGCCGTGAAAAAGAAAAGCTCAAAGCTGGCGACGAGACCTCGCACGCCCGCGCCCGCGGCTCCAAGCCCCGCGTGGAAAAACGTGCAGTCAAGCTGATTGAGCTAGGCCCACGTATGAAGCTGCGCCTCACTAAAGTCGAAGAAGACGTGTGTGGCGGAAAGGTTCTCTGGCACGAATTCATTACCAAGAGTAAGGCTGAGGAACAGGAGCTGGAGAAGAGGTGGCAGCAAAAGAATAAAGAAAAGGAGGAGAGACGACGTATTCAGCGGGAGAATATCGAGAGGAAGAGGAAGGAGAAGGCGGATAAGGGAGAGACTGCTGAGGGAGAAGGCGAGGAAGGCGAGGAGGATGAGGAGATGGAGGATTTTGAGGATTACGACATGGACGATGATGTGTGGCAGGATGCTGCGGATGCAGGAGAGGAGGGCGAAGACGATGAAGACGAGGAGATGGAAGAATGATTGATGTAAAAAATGATCTGTAATGATACCCCGTTGGACGCTTGCACCACGCAATTGTATACATCTCAATACATGCGTTTCAACTCCATCGTAATTCACTCCCTCAGGCCCCCTTTGGCTTCTTAATAATCACCTTCTCCCCATCCGCACTCAATTCCCACCCTACGCCCTCCTGCACCAGCTCCTCCCACCGCCTCTCCGTCGTCCTCTCCACAAACGGGCGATCCGCACTCAAATACGCCTTGCCCAAACACTTGAGCGCATGCACCCTCATATTTCCATCCGCCCACTCCATGACGCTCCTCTGATACCCATCCACCGCCCTGCGCACACGCCAAAACCCCACATAATCATCCGCAACCAGGGCTCTCAGCACGGCTTCAACCCGCCAGTCCTTATACCCGTACTGCAGCTTCGTCTGGCGGGCGCCCGAGAAATCCGATTGGCGACACGCTTGATCGAGGATTAGGAGGCCGACGAATTCGTGGAGGGTAGATGGTGGGAGCGGGTTCCGTGGGTGGATTATGTTGAGGAGGGAGAGGAGGGAGGGGAGGTAGGAGGCCCAGTCGTGGCAGAGGATGCTGACGTGGATGGCGAAGGTGTAGGCGCGGAGGGCGAAGGAATCGGAACGGTTTGATGCTGTGATTGCTTCGCGGAGTTTACGCAGGGAGGAGAGGACTGTTTCTAGTTCTTGGATTGAAGGTGTGAACGCTTTTTGTGGAATGGGGTGGGCGGAGGGGGCTGTAGTGGTAGTGGTGGGTGGTGGTTTAGTGTTCTGGTATTCTGGAGGCGCGTGTTTGGAGAGGGACAAGGAGGAGAAGGAACTGGTGAGTTTGGAGCTTGCTTCGCTGTTTTTTGTGTCTGTTGCGGAGGCAAAGAGGTTGTCTAGTTCTTCACGGTTGAGGGCGCAGAGTTTCATGTAGCGTTCGATGATGCGGTTGAAGTAGGTTTCTTGCGTCTTGAAATCGTTGAGTCTGCACAATCAGCGGGTGTGCTGATTCAGGCGAGGCAGAGAGATGCGGTACCGTGTCTCGCCTTTGCTGGGTAGCCCGTAGCTCTCGAGCATGTCTTCTCGGACGGGCTTGAGGCGGCTCCATGCGCCTGATGCAGCGCGGCGGCTGCTTGGACGGGCGGGGTCGGTGGACTTCATGGAGGCGGTTGATATGATTGTGCGAGAAACGAGATGTTCAAGTTAACCCGAGAGATGTTTTCAGCATCGGGCTGTGTCGTTGCTGAGAGGTATTGCGAGCCATGGTGGGCTTGGATAAAGACAGTCGCGTAGGAGACACCATCGAGGCAAGGTGGGATGGAGGGGCAAGCGCGCCCGAGCTCACTTGAACCGCGTCGCTAACCCGCTGAGACGGCGTGATAGCAGACATGCCATGTCATCGATTTTCCGGAATGCTATGTAGCCTTTGGTGATTGTCAAAAGGCGACATGTGATGCTCGCAAGATTCACTGGATGTGGCATAGCTTGCCAGAGGTCCCTGGAAGTGCGTACCAGTTGGCTCGAGTCCTTGAATGTCGCCTCACACCATTTAACCCTCGACCTCTGGATAACTATCTTCAATCCCAAGTGAACACGTAATCTCTGTCTTAATTCGTTCTTACTTTCATTATGGATGCTGTCAAGGAAGCAGCTTCAAAAGCCGCAGATGCCGGCAAAAAGATAGAGCAAAAGGTGGAGGAAAAGCTAATATTAGTATGGGACGAGCTTTCTCCCTGGCAGCAAGACAATCATTACATTCAAACTGGTTACCGAGCGCCGTCAAACTCCTACTCCAAGTCGTGGAAGAGTCTGGGATATCTACACAACGAAACAGTCAACATCTACACACATCTCATAGGGGCTCTCCTCGCAGCTGTGGCTGGCATCGCTCTGTACTTCACATTGGGACCACGCTACGCGACTGCGACCACCGAGGATGTGTGGGCGTTTGGGTGCTTCTTTGCCGGAGCAGTGGCATGTCTGGGTATGAGCGGGACGTATCACACCATTCAAAATCACTCGCACGAGGTAGCCATATGGGGCAACAAGCTCGACTATCTAGGTATTGTCTTCTTGATCTGGGGCAGCTTTGTCCCAGTGCTGTACTATGCCTTCCGAGATGAACCCGAGCTGAGGAAGACATACTGGGCCATGATCACAACGTTGGCAGCGGGAACTTCCATCGTATCCACACATCACAAATTTCGCACGCCAGCGCTTCGCCCCTTTCGAGCCCTAATGTTCGTACTCATGGGCCTCTCTGCCGTGTTCCCTGTTCTGCATGGGATACAATTGTACGGAGTCGAACACCTGCGAAGAAGTATTGGATTGGACTGGATTTTGCTGCAGGGCGTCTTGTACATCAGCGGTGCTGTCATCTATGCCGCCAGAGTGCCCGAGAAGTGGAGTCCGGGAAAATATGATATTTGGGGCTCCAGCCACCAGATATTCCACGTGTTGGTTGTTCTAGCTGCCGCAAGTCATCTCAACGGCCTCGTCCAAGCTTTTGACTATGAGCACGGCCAGAGAAGGAGCGAAATAACGGCAGCGCTGGGGAGCAAGGGGCTGTAGGTTCGGTGATATACAGGGCGACGTGATTGGGTACGCGACAATGAGGTTCCCATTGAACTATCCTCCGGGTGTTGAGGGAATGAGCACCTCGGTAGCTGTAGCATGTCCCTTTCTTGTATGATAGATACATCTGTTTTGCAGAGATGGATAATGGCCTTCTTCCATGGCCTTCTGGAATATGCGCTTCTGTACAAATCCAGTAAAACTCTGAGACGGACCGGGGTGTTTTGCGCGATGCGAACGCCGCACAGACTGGCCGATGACGCCGTGCCAGCCACCTTCCCCATGAAATGCTACACGCGTGGGCCCGGTCTGACCAATCACAATCCTCCGCCAGAGCTACCGATCTTGCAGCTCTCCTCCCAGCACTTCATTCTCCGACGCCCATTCCTCTGTTTACTCTTTCATCTACACGTCGCGTCTCTGACCACTGTTTGTACATCATCGCTACACACCAGATCATTCTTGAAAGCACTCTGCGCGCCAACCTCCTCACTACCTTGCTTCTGCGACGCCAAAGGCTCTTTCGCGAAGCATAACGTCATCCCATATCACCTGCGATTGCAAACCCACGTTACACACAATGACTGACACTGAAATTCAACAAGGAGACAAAGGTACGCGCCTCTCATTATTTCCATGTTCCCATATCATCGAGCCCGGCGCGACTACGTATAGTCAGATTCCGTTCGGCGCATTGCGCTCACTCACGCGCACTCTTCGCGCATCCCGGCGCGTTAATGCGGCCTCGGTCGCCTCGGTCATGTCTTCACTGAGAATGTACAACATCATCGCTAACGCGTCTTTCTTCAGTCTCATGGAACTGGGGTTCAGGACAGCCCAGCGGCACCGTTGCCGAGGTCAAGGAGCAGGGCGAGCTTGCCATTGAATCCAACAAGGGCAATACGATTAAGAAGAATGCCGACCCTGAAAACCCTGCGGTTCACGTTGAGAGGTCAGGCAACGATGTCGTGAAGCGTGCCTCCGAGCTTCAGATCAATGAAAAGGCCGAGGGCGCTAACAGCGACTCCAAGCAGGAGGACAAGAAGGACGACGCCGAGAAGTCGGAAGAGAAGCCGGCTGAATCAGACAAGAAGGAAGATGACAAGCCGGCTGAATCCGAAAAGAAGGATGAGGAGATGAAAGACGCACCTGACAGTGAGGAGAAGAAGGAAGAGCCTCACACTAACGGCGAATCCAAGAAGGAAGAGTCCAATGAGACAAAAGAAGACGCCAAGGACGATGCATCAAAGGAGAAATCCGATGAAAAGTCTAACGAAAAGTCCGAGGCCGACAAGGAGGATGACCCAAAGACCGGCGACAAGCGCAAGGTCGAGGAGACTTCTGAGAAAACCAACGGCGCTGATGCTGATGCCGATGTTGAAGCTGAGAAGCCTGCTGAAAAGAAGGCAAAGACTGACGAAGCCGATGGTGAAGGCGAGGCCAAGGAGGAAACCGAGATCAAGACACCCGCTAAGAAGCCTGGCCGCCCCAAGAAGGAGAAGAAGGAACCCGCAAAGAAGAAAGAGCCCAAGAAGGCTGCAACTGCTGACGGTACGCCACGCCGAAGCGGCAGGAACAAGGCTTAAACAACAAAACCCTTGCTACGGCCCATACTTCAGTATCCACCAGTGCACTCTCGCCTCGCAGTCTGAAATGATATTCCAAGCACAAGTTTCTTGGTATGCGCGTTGATTTTGGATATTGTTGGATGTGGCGTTCCATTGCGGTCAATTGGTGAGCGAAAACAGACTATATCGACAATCGAGAAAAACTAAATGAAGTAACGGCAATGGGAGGAAACGGATATGGCAATGGATGGTGGCGCTCTGGGATCCGGTCTTTTCTTGTCTGCTATCCTAGTGGCGCTTTTTGTGTCCTCTTGTTGTATAATAAAACTCTTGTCTACGGCTTTTTACGGGAGGATTGGACAAGGGAAAGCATTTCAAAGCTAAAAAGGTACATCGAATGCATGCTATGAAATATTATTGTCTTACTTGTGTTTCTGTGATTTCTTACATAATAACCACGCGCATCGATAGAAGCTGAGGTTTCTGGGGTGTCGCTTCGCATATTTAATTAGAGACACGACTTTAAGTAGACTAAAAGCAAAGCTTCCCCACCCCGTCGTGGACTGGGAGATTTTGTATGTGGATCATTTGAGAGCAGCTTGCGCACTAAGAACAAAGAGGGGTTATATACAGCTTAGTATATTTGTTGAAATTACTTTATATCGGAAAGTCTCTATTCGATGACTGCACAGGTGCCCTGAAATGAAGAGCCCTTTTCAGCCTGATCTATGTTACTCTATCGAACATAACTTCCCATGCTATACCTTCGCTTTCAATATCCACCTCCTTCCCAAGCAGGCCCACCTGCTGAACAAGAAGCTAATCAAACTCAATCCGAGAACTGCACAAAAGAAGGCCACCATGGGCTGAGGTCCAACCGTCTCCACGAGCTCACCGCCAATTGGAATACAGACCAGGGTTGCCAAAGAAGCTATGAAGTACATACTCCCATAGTAGCGGCCAAACTCTTCTGCTCTGCACAACTGCCCAACGCATGCAGGTGTCAGAGCCATCCAGGAACCCGTGCCGAATCCAAAGAGGGCCGTATAGGCGTACAGTGCCGGCAGTGATGTAGTTCCAAGAGGCAACCAAAGAACCAACATCCACAACAGCGTGAAGACTATCATGATGAAGAGTGTATTGAACCTCCCAATCTTATCCGCAACGTACCCCGGGAGCAAGCGTCCAAGACAAGAAACCCCATTGAGTACCGCAATGAGATAGAATCCAGTATCAGGCGGGAAGTCTGTACTCCTTGTCGCATACGTCGGCAAAATGCCTAACCCCCCAAACAACACCACCTCAAATCCAAACACACTCAGCGTAAACAAGCTCAGTCGCAAGTCCCCATAAATCGAGGGCGAAATAATCGCCTTCTTCTTCGCCGCCGCCGACGGCGGAATCCTCGCCTTCATCAACCCATTCGCCACTACAAAACACCCCAAAAACACAAACCCGAGTATCCTAAGCGACCACGCATACCCGTACTTTGGCAGCGTCGTCCTCAGAACCAGCGGAATCGCCAATCCACCCCCGGAACTCCCCATCATCGCCACACCCTGCGCCAACCCCCTCTTCTCCTTAAACCAATGCGCCACAACCGCCAAACTCGTCGTCGTAAGCGCCGCACAAGAAAACCCGCCTAGCACGCCACAGCAAAGCAGCATCTGCCAAAACGTCTTGCACTCTGCCAGCAAAAACACCATGACTAGAAAAGCGGCACTGCCGCCCAGCGCGATCCACCGCGGACCGTACCGGTCGAATAACGGACCCACCCAGATACCGAGGGCGAGGGAGAGATAGACGAATAAGGAGGGGATCCAGCCGATGTCGCGCGAGGACATGGAGGAGAGTTGGTGTTGCGACCAGTGGTCTTGCAAAGTGCCGATGGAGACTTGCAGCCCGAAGGAGGGGAAGAGCATGAGGAAGGCGGAGAGGACGACGAGCCAGGCGCGGGGACCGCCTTCGGGGAAAGGGGATTCGGAGGTTGGGGTTGGAGAGGTGAGGGGGAGGCCGGGCTCGGGGTCTGTTGGGTGAGAGGGAAGTTCTACATCGTAGCTTGGAGACTGTTTCTCGGTGTCTTGGTGTTGGGGGTGGGATTTCATCTTCTGGTCGGTGTCGTGGAGTGGAGTATGGATTTCTTCAGAGGCTTTGTTGGCGCTGGGTGTTGGGAGGGTGTTTGTTGGGCTTGTTGGACTTGCGATTGGATCCATTGTGACTCTTCAGGACGACCCGATACTTTTCCTGCTCTTGTTCTTTCCCGATAGCTCAAAATCGTAAACAGATAAGGAGATGGAAGAAAAGGTACGAATTGCGTCAAGTCTCTGCGACAGCGTGAACCAAAACCACACAAAATGAACTTTTGTCGTGTAACTAAGTCTACGTTGGTAGTTTATCACATGGGAAGTCCACCAACATGGAATTTTACATGTCACCGACTACTATTCTGCAGACCCTTTGCCAATCTTACAATGGCGGAGCGCGGCAAAGCCGCACATCTTATACCGTATCCAGCACGTTGTGGGTGTCTTGGCAGTTTGCGACAACGGGGGCCTCGTTGACGACGGGATTGCGGCAAACGGGTAATCTAGGCGTGGCGGGCGGTTACACAGCGTGCATCATGTGCGCCCTATCGCTTGGAAGGAATGACTAGTGGGACGCCCAGGTTTTCTTTGCAGTTGGTGATGACGAGGGTGCCCCGCGGAATGTGGTTGGCTGGGTTAATGCAGGTCGGAGTGGATTTGTTACTCCGATGTTTCTTTGAGCATGATGAGAGCTGGAGTTCCGAGATCGCATTTAAATGATTTGAGATTGTGTGATACTTGATGAGATTTGAGACATGAGATATTCATGTGGTTGAAATGCGTAGAGAGATTAAGACTGCGGTTTGGGTTGTATCTTATCTTGCGGAACAAACTGTGTGATGGCTAGGAAGTATGGAAGACTAGAGTGTAGGTAGGTGGGACGTTGCTACTAGGTGTACCAGTCCTAACTATTTCTATGTTTACGTATACTCGGGGCTACTCCGCGAGGTTATTTTCGACTTGTATCTAGGCTTCGAGCCGGATATCGTGAACATCGATCTACCTTCTTCATTGTCAGTATTGGGCTTCATACCAATTCCGATTGCTATATTGACGGGAAATATATGACGTCATTGAATACCTCGCTACTTCGAGATGTTCTTTCAACTCTACATAGACATCAACTAAGGTTTGCTACGAACCCAATGCTATCAACAAACTTTACAATTCAGAAGACAAACACATGCCAAGGAACTCGCCATACCTGCAAATAAAAGACAGTATCAACGTGTGGGCTTGGCGTGCGTCGTCTAATGTGGATATTTTGATTACTGTCAGTCATGCTGGCCTAACGAACGTGGACCTAGTAAAAGCAACTGAGAGTCCCAAGACTTTATTTCCTGTTTGGGTAACAATTCTCAAGCATCGATTGCAGTGACTTTTTCACCCAACGAGAGCTCAACGCCAGCACCCAACGACTCTGGACACACCGTCGCCACTTCTTGGGTTCGGTGTAGCCTCGGAACCGGGCAAACTACAAGTTATGCTACGGTGAGTTTCAGAAACAGAAGAAGAATTAATAGAGCTCTTAACGTTACACAGAGCATCGACAATCAAATATATATGCGTTTCATCTTACGCTTTCATGACTCTCAGAGCCCGAGGCAATACCTGTCAGCGATCCCTCTATTTATCCGTTGGGCAGAAAGGCCACCACTTAGCACCGCGCACTAGGCTCCGCACGTGCATCCGCCATGCAGCACCAAGCATTGCGGCGCTCCGGCAAGACATGGCTTGGGAGGCTTGTCTTTGTTATCTCGAATCGTATAGCATGGCCGAACACCAGAAACGACCATGAGCATGCTTGTAATAGGACAAGATGATCCCATATGTATGATATAACAAAAGACAACGTGAAGCTGACCTCGAGCCACCACAAACAGCAGCAAACGACTGGTGGAAGAAAAGAAAACCGGGTCTACCCACACACTACTCTCCCCAATAGCCACGGGAAGTGGAGTGTGGGGTCGGGAGGACTCCTTCAGAAGATAGCGATGCAACCTCGGGGCGCAGGACTGCCGGTGGTGCCACCTTACTAGCTTTTGGTCTCTGCTATAGAAAGGCTTCGCTCGCCCTTCTCGAAACCAGGCAAGTCAGCAAACTCAACGAAAAGATGCCGTCTGATTTCTTCAAGAATCGCAGAGTCTATCTGTTGACTGGCGTTGCCTACATGGGCTCGCTGCTCTTCGGTATGCATCCAATTCTTGTTCAACTCGACATCATAGCTGATTTGCCATAGGATATGACACCGGGGTTATGGGCAGCGTTCTTGCGCTCAAATCTTTTAAAAGAGACTTTGGATTGCCGACAGAAAAGTCTGGCTTCGCCGACTCCAGGAACGCCGAAGTTTCTTCTAATGTAGTGTCGCTGTTAACAGCAGGATGCTTCTTTGGCGCCATAGGAGCAGCATGGCTTAACGAGCGTTTCGGTCGACGATATTCTCTCATGGGCTTGTCTGTCATCTTTCTGATAGGTGCTGCGCTCCAGACTGGCGCTCATCACAAGATTGGCCTGATCTACGGTGGCCGCGTCATTGCTGGTCTCGGCATTGGTGGCATGTCTTCTATCACACCAGTCTTTGTTTCCGAGAGCGCGCCCCCGGCTGTTCGTGGACGCATAGCAGGTCTCTTCCAGGAGTTTCTCGTCATTGGCAGCACGTTTGCTTACTGGCTTGGATATGGCGTGAACTTACACATGCTGAGCGAAACCAAGCAATGGAGAGTTCCTGTTGCTATCCAACTTATCCCTGGAGGCTTCATGCTGCTCGGACTTTTCTTTTTGAAGGAATCTCCTCGATGGTTGATGTCAAAAGGCCGACATGAAGAGGCTGTCAAGTCTCTTTGCTTCATTCGCTGCGATACGCCTGATAGCCCGGAGTTACAACAGGAGCTGGCAGAGATCCGCGCTGCTGTTGAAGAAGAGCTCAATCAGACCGAAGGAATTACCTGGAAAGAGTGCCTTCTCCCAGGGAATAGATATCGGTTCATCACCGGCTTCGTTCTCATGTTTTGGCAACAATTTAGCGGCACAAACTCGATTGGTAAGTCTTTCATGTCTCAGGGATTGGAAGAAAATTAACTCACATCATCTAGGTTACTATGCGCCACAAATCTTCCAAGCTATTGGCGTCTCTGCCTCCAATGCCTCCCTGTTCGCAACTGGTATCTACGGTACTGTCAAGGTCATCACTACGGGAATTTTCCTCCTTGTCGGTATCGACTTCCTCGGCCGCAAGAAATCTCTAATGGCTGGCGCGGTATGGATGTCATCCATGATGTTCATCATCGGAGCAGTACTCGCAACTCACCCACCCAACCCCACATCGTCGACTGTAAGCTCGGCATCCATGGCCATGGCAGCCATGATCTACCTATACGTCATCGGTTACTCAGCTTCCTGGGGCCCAGTCCCATGGGTCTACCTCTCCGAGATATTTCCCACGCGTCTCCGTTCGTATGGTGTCGGAATGGGCGCTGCAACCCAATGGCTCTTCAACTTTGTCATAACCAAAATCACTCCAGCTGCAGTCAACAGTATTGGATGGAGAACATTCCTCATGTTTGGAATCTTCTGTCTTGCTATGAGTGTGTTTGCTACCTTTTTCATCAAGGAGACCAAGGGTAAGACTCTGGAAGAAATTGATCTTTTGTTTGGAGACGTGTCGGCCGAGCAACGAAGGATGGACATCGAGGCGGGTTTGAAAGAGGAACAGCGGAAACACTCGGTCGCTTATGCGGAGAATGCCACTGAGCTTGGCAACTGGGCGGGCAAGGATTAAGGAGTAAATGCTTGGAATAGTCGATAGCATCGAGAAATCAACGTTCGGCCGTTTAGACACTGTCACTGAAGTATTCATCGCATCTTCAGTTGAATTCAGAGAAGACTCCTACGTATTTCTTCTTTGGACGAAGCAGCGCGATCGAAATAGCCTCAAGAACCCCTATTATTTACAGTGTATGGTATGCCAAGATGTAGACCTGCCCCCTTCAGGTTAGCTTCTTATATAATCAGTACACTAGAATCTCCTGCATGTCAGATGAAGAGAGTTAAACAGGTTTCCCTCTCCAGTTAAAGAAACAGAAAGAACTAGTAGTGGGACCTCAGAGCAGTTGCAGCAATATGTAGCCAAAATTGCAACCCTCTTTATTATCTTTTTCTCGAGCTATCCAGGCTACTCCTTGTTTCATCCGGCGTCATTCATAATGACTCATTTTGAGTGAATAACAGTAGCTTAACTGCTTCCCAAGCCTCCAACTTGGACATATAGAGCTTACAGTCCTGTAGTTTATATACATCCAACATCAACCTTTTCATTCATTTTCGCAAATGTCACTGTACACAGCCCCAATATGCTACTAGAATTTCTTTTCAACATCCGCATATGGATTGTCTTGATTATTCCAATCATCGCATTTCTATTCCGTTCAAGACGTCGCTCAATCTTTCCCACCATCAACAATTTTCCCTTCGACCCTCTTTCCCAAAAAGCGCATCAAGAGTACCGCACCAACGCCGAATCATTGATCACCAACGGTCTCGCAAAACACCAAGGTCCAATCTCCCTCTCCGTCCCAAGTGGCAAGAAAATCGTTCTCCCGGCGTCATTGACCGCTTGGGCGAAATCAAACAAAAATCTCGACCATAGAGAGCTCGTCAGACAGGACTTCTATGCTGGGTTCCCTGGATTCGAAGCACAGGATGCGTTGCATGCGTCTGGAGACGTGCTTCTGGATGTAATTCGTACGAAGCTTGGACAGAACGAAAGTATCATGTCAGTGGTGACTAACAGTATAGCAAAGGCGTTGCAAATCCACTGGGGCGATGATAAGGACTGGCATGTCATTGACTGGCAGAAAGACACAACGGGTATCATCGCGCGCGCAGCGTCATCGATTTTTGTCGGTTCAGAGAAGTGTGAAGATGAAGAGTGGCTGGGTATCGCACAAGGCTACGTCGGCGCGTACTTTACGGCTGTCAACGAGCTGCATGAGTATCCTGCCTGGTCGAGACGCATTGTGCAGAGGTTTCTCCCAAACGCCGTTGCTTGTCGGAAATACGTAGCGCAGGCTCGCGCTATTGTGAAGGAGTTGATTGCAAACCGGGAAAAGAAAGTCGAGGAGGCGAAGCGTAAAGGTGACCCTCTCCCGCAATACAACGATGCGCTCGCATGGGTACAAGCAGTACCAGGCCCCAAGGCAGACGCCGGCGACATACAACTGTCACTGGCAATGGCTGCATTCTTCACCACAAGCGAACAGTTCCGCCAGGTCTTGATCGATGTTGCGTCGCACCCTGAGCTCATCGAGCCGCTAAGGAAAGAAGTCTGCGAACAGATTTCCACCCACGGTATAACTATCGCTGCAACAAACAACATGGTCCTTCTCGACAGCGTCCTGAAAGAATCCCAGAGACTTTCATCTCCCATAGGTACTTCTATCCCCTCTCCGCCCCCTCTGTTCCATCCATTCTAACAAACACTCCCCAGTGGCTCTCGAGCGCGTAGCCCTCAAAGACACGACCCTTCCCACCGGCGAAAACCTCCCACGCGGCTCCCACATCATGGTCGACTGCACCGGTCTCCGCAGCCCCGCCAAATACCCCAGCCCGGATCACTTCGACGGATACCGTTTCCTACGCCAACGCGAGGCAGGCGATAAATTCACTCAGTTCGTTCAATCAGGCCCCGATTACAACGTGTTTGGCGGTGGACGTCATATTTGCCCCGGACGCTATTTCGCTAGTAATGAATTGAAACTCACCATGGCGCATATATTGCTCAAGTATGAGATTAGGATGGTGAAGGGGTATCAGTCCAGTATGGTACAAATGGGTGTGCATAAAATGGCTGATCCGGTGGCTAAGTTTGAGGTGCGGAGGAGGGATGTGACGGAGATGGATTTGGTTCAGCTGACTGTATCGTTGGTGTGAGGGATGAAGACGAGGTTGGGGTTCTAGATATTTGTTGTTGAATTTGTGTGTGTAGTTTTCGGGTGTAAATATTCTAGAGCTGACAGTAATCTGGTGCCGATATGAACTATTCCATTCCTGCAAAGAGTTTTGAACGGGCCATTGCTCCGACCTTTGATTTCCGGGGTTTATATGCCTTGTCGTCGACGACAAAATCGTCGTCGGAATCTTGTCCCTCGGAATCATGGTCGGGGTTTTGTGTGGCTCGTGGAACCGCCACCGTTTTGTTCTTCGCTCTGACGATATGGGAAGCACTGATTGTTGAAGAGGGCTTCTGATTCTTGCCAGCCTTCCCACAACTGGTTTTATTGGAGCTTGGGGTCCTTCTTATCTTCTTAGACATCTTTTTCTTCTCATTGGCCAGAGGAAGACGCTTTTGGCTTTTGAGCTGCTCTTTGTTGTTGTCACTACAAGATGTGGGCGGAGTGACAGATTTCGATGAGGGTCCAGAATCGGTATCACAACCGTCTTTTCGCCCCATGTGCTTCTGGGTCCGCGGAACCCATTTTTTCAGCCTTACAATATTTTTCTTGGGAGTAGTGGACTCAGGGGCGGCTTTGTGACTATTGAGGGCCTCTCCCCTGGCCTCCTCCAGTATAGAAAGGAAAGATGACATCGTGTTCTAGAATAAGGTTCGTGTAGTTGTGAACAAAGAAGCTAGGTCAACAGAAGTTGATGAGAAAAATGGAGAGTATTTGTGTTCAGGGGCATAAGTACTTTTGAGGGCAGTGCCAAATGCAGCTCTGAATATAACAAAATTTCTGTAATTATGACGGACCAGTCGCATTTTTTGTCTTTCAACCATCAAATGCTACGACGCATATATGGATATTGCCACGCTTTGATTGTTCCACCATTTCTGACCAACAAATATGAAGAAAGAAATATACTCGTGCGATTCTATTGAAGGGATGAAATGGGATGAACCGTGGAGCTGGTCGCAATGCCAAATGGTCAGGAACAAGAGATAGATAAAGTTTGGTTCGACCGGTCTACAACCGTGGTAGGACAACAAGGCTGCTCTCGCTGTCCCCTGGTTAGCCCAAGTAGCTTTTCGTTAAAGCTGATGTGCTGCCACATATCGCATTTAGTAACAACACCGACTTTCTTTCTTAGATGTGATAGTTATGTGTAAAAGGTGCGATTCATGCCAACCTCCTCTTGCCAAAAGCAACCAGCGAATCGAAGCCCGTGCCTTACTTACTAGCTTTTCTTGTATCTTATTTCTCCTATAAGTGAATTTGAGCTCTGTTCTCTTAACACTAGGAGGCTTTATCCATAGCTGTCAGTTCAGACTCGCGTGTCGTTAGCATGAGTCCCCACTTTAAGATATGTATGGAAACAAAGAACTGGAATATTTGTCGACGAAGACGTACACCCCACTTGAGAGCTTTCAGCATGTGTGTGAGATGTTTTCGGGACTTTCAAGGAGAAACTGCGAATGCAAACATTGGTCTTACTAGGTCATCTTTAGTTTTTTCTCAAATATCAGGGTCTCTTTATATGTACCAAGTATTCTCAAACCCAAAAAAGAAAAGATTTTTAACACATTCATCAGATGCACTGTCTATACAGCCAGATCTCGCGAACTCTTATACAAGCCATTTCAACTCATCCAACTTACATCACGTGAGATCGTATGGATAAGAGCCCAATGAGCTAGAGCACGCATGATTCCAGAAAATCATATTGATTATCCATGTTTTTTTATTATTCTACAAGTTCCGAAACACAGTTGGCTCGGTTTCGTATCTATGGGACAAGGGTAGGCTGGTCACATGATTTGAGAGAGTGGGGAAAGGTATGGATCGGCGAAACTAATCGCCGACAAACCCAGGTGTTTGTCCTGTTTGCATCTTTGATAGCCAACTCTGGCCAGACGACAGCATCAAGACACGACCAGCATTCTTTTGAACGTACTGCAACGACTTAGATCGCTTTCAAAGACGTTCTCCAAGGCCCCCGCTCAGTAAACCATTCTCTCGAATATTCATAACCGCGTCCTTTTCCTCGAAACAGCCTCGGCGACGGCAAACCCCATACACATATACCAATAGCGGCGGATCAGACACAGGGAGAACACAATGGGTGGCTACTTATCAACGTTTACGAAGCTTATATGGGCGAAGAAGGAGATACGGATATTGATCCTTGGACTTGTGAGGGGTCTCAAGCCCGCTACAAGGCGTTCACAGGGCTGATTACAAATGCAGGATAACGCTGGCAAGACAACATTACTATACAGATTGAAGGTACGCATCGCCCAACAATGCAAGAGGGAGTGGAAGGCAATCCATGCGGAGCATGCTATACCACCATGAACCAGAGCATACACTAACGGGCTACAACAGATAGGAGAGGTAGTCACAACGATACCAACGATAGGTTTCAACGTGGAATCAGTAACATACAAGAACCTCAACTTCAATGTCTGGGTATGTCACTCCCAACATGTTTCTGTTTACATCACCTATGGTGACCTTCTAACAAAGGCTCTTAGGACTTGGGAGGTCAAACCTCGATCCGCCCCTATTGGCGCTGCTACTACGCCAACACAGCCGCCGTGATCTTCGTCATCGACAGTACCGATATCGAGCGTCTCACCACCGCCTCCGAAGAACTGCGTGCCATGCTCAACGAGGAGGAACTGCGCGACGCCGCGCTTCTCGTGTTCGCGAACAAACAGGATCAGCCCGGCGCAAAGGGTGCAGGCGAGATCAGCGAGGCGCTACGGCTGGGCGAGCTCAAGGATAGGAATTGGAGCATTGTCGCGTGTAGCGCTGTCGATGGAAGTGGTGTGCAGGAGGGCATGGACTGGCTGGTGAGCAACGTGGGAGACGGCCAAAGTTGAACAGTGAATTCAATCAACATGAAGGAAAAAGGCTAAGATATTCACGCACCATACGGGGCAAAAACCGAGAAGCGCATGTAGATTACGCGGCACATACGTGTTCCCAAAGGTTATTACCAGCATCAAATGGGGCGTTTTGGGCGCAAGGATCAAGAGGGAACAGGGAGTTTAGCTGCTGCGAAGTTTGGCTTGGTGTGTATTAAATCCCAAATGTCAAAGGTTAAACCTAATATGGAAAGTTTACAAATCGAGTTTAATCACAGGGGGAATGGATGCCGATGGTGCCAACAATATATGCTCACAGCTTACTCATTCTGACATGCGTGGGCCTTCTTTTTTTTGTTTGTCGAAATTCTAATAATGCTCCCATGTGTGATCCCTGCCGGGCCTCAATCTGCCCTCTGTCCAATCCTTGCCGTACACATAGGCACTGTGGATCTCTTCCTCATCGACGCCCAGATGATCTTCGCCGTCGCGGCCTCGGAACCAGCCTAGCGCATACGTTTTGCCGGTTTTCTCCAGATGCTGCGTCATTTGCGTGGAGGTGAATTTCTCGGTGTCGATGAAATTGAAGAGCATCTTGGACTGGTGGATGTACGCCAGCACGCTTGCCATGGTGCCGATCTGGCGTGGCATGAACTTCTGGCTGCGCTTTAGATATGTGAGACATGCGACGATGATGAGGTAGAGCAGGATAAACATGGTGAGTGCGAAGCTCGTCCAGAAACTGCGAAAGGTTTGCTCGGTGTTGTAGCGATCGTGCGGATCGCTATTGTTGCCGTCTTTGTTGTCATCCCAGTTTTGGCCGCCGAGTCCTGGGATGAATTTCTTGCCGTCGACGCTGATGGAGGAGACGCAGACGGTGAGGACTTCGGCGAGGACAGAGCCGATGGCGACAACCATGACGAGGTAGTGGCGGTTGATGAAGGCTTTGAAGGGGAGCCAAAGCGGGTTTGTGCCGGCGTAGTCCAGAGTGAGGGTTTTGGCTGGGGCGTGGCGGAGAGAGAGGATGTAGAAGGGTTGTAACATCCTCACATCGCAATTCATTGTATTCCAGAGTATTCGGATTACCGTTGCGAGGCCGGTCATGACCCATGGGAATTTCTCTGTTATGATACCTAGATCCTCGACGAAAGTGAAAATGGGGATTACTGCAGTGAAGGCAATGAGCAAGGTGATGAAGGGAATGCCAGATCGGTATCGTAGCATGAGCGGCCTGGGATCAGAACCACGCTCGTGTATCTTTTCCTTGCTATCTCTAATATACTCACCCTGCCAGAGTGAGCTCTTGTGCAGAATGTATCTCCGAGTGCGGAGTTTCTTGTGGATTTGTTCCAGAGGTGCGGTGTCCAGTCCTTTGAAGTCGGCAAGAATATGACTTTTAGTAGCCATGGCTGCGATGCCTGCAATTCCCTTAGGGTCTGATTGCAAGCCGCTTTTTCGCCGCATAGCATACATTAACGCCCCGCCGCAGCAGGCCACTAGGAGAAGACATGCTGATACAGCCCTTGACCAGACTGGCTCGACTCTGATAGACTTCCATCCTTCAGTCTGGCGGTCCTTCTTGGATGGATACATGGACATGGATGCAGACTGTAGAACCGGAACAAGACTGCTGGCAATCAGAGTGCCCAATGAGCTGTAGATGACAGCATACTGTCTGTGGTGAAGGGCTCTGAGCGGTACTAGCCAGCTCATGAATGTTAAGTAATCCATATTCAGAGACTCCCCTGCAGTCGCTCCAGTCTTCTTGGACAGCTGGTAGAATGGCTCCAGGCGTTTTACTTCAAAGTCTGACATTTGCCAGAGTACGCCGTAGAATACCAAGATCATGATGGGTGCGTATTGCCATGCAAAGTAGATGGTGATGTCCATGTCTCCTACTCTTCTGAATCGTACTAAGCCACCCTTTTCGGGGTCTTTCTTGACTTCTTTCAGCGAAGTTTGACAAAGGTATTCTTGTACAGATGCGAGCGAAAGTGCAATGATGATGAGCATCAGTAACCACAACTGGCTCATGGTAGTAGGGCGCCAATTTGGCATTTGGGGATCTTCTCTTGTGTTAGATTAAAAGTGTTTGCAAGCAGGTGTAGAATCTCACCTTCTGGGAAGAAGTAACTGGTCTCTGCCCCGTTGCGGATGAGACCAGCTTCAGCTGTGAGACTCCTCATTGATTCAAAGTCTCGCGCGACACCCGCAAAATCACTGATGTCAATGGGGACATCGGTTGTGACTGCAACTACTTGCCCGGTCTTCTCAGCTTCGACTTGTGCATTTTTGGCCTCCTCGTCCGCTACCTCGTCTGCCGATAGTATCCGTCGATGGCCCGGAAACGATCCTGGTACTGGCCCCGCGGGAGTATGAGTAAACGGTTTGTGAAATATAGACGTCATGCCTGCGCCTAGATGTGATTCTAGACTCTCAAATTCTGCAGCGTGACTGGCTTCGTCCAGCTCCCGAGCCTTTGTGTTCGCTTCAGATTTCCCATACCCAGTCGGCTGCGCTTCATACATCTTCATTGACAGTCCTCCAAGAGAACTCAAATCATATCCGACCACTTCATTCTCCTCTTCGATTTCTTTGGGCCTGCCCCTTGAAGGGGCTGCCTCTTCATCATCCAGTCTGTTGTAATGACCCCTCCCAAAAGAGCCTTTGTTCAGCGACGTGAATCTGTCCAAAACCCTTCGAGCCCTGCCATTGCTCTTATCCGCTGGGGGAGACGCTTTTTCTTGATTAAATATAATTGCAAGAGGGTCGTACGAGGT